AGCAATTCCAAGAAAAATAAAAACACAGGTCCACAAAAGGAACTGTATACAAATGTTCATAGAAACATTACTCATAACAGCCAAACCCAGGAAACCACCCAAATATAAATCTACATGTACAGTATATTCACACCCATGGGATACTACTCAGCAATAAAAACAAATGAACTACTGATATCTATAGCAACATGGATGAATCATAAAAGGTTTATTTATGTTATGCAAAATAATGCAGAGCTACAACATAAATTTTATGATTTCACTTATATTAAGTTGAAATACAGGAAAAACTGTAGCAGTCAAACATAAATCAGACTATAGCAATCAGAAAAGTAGATACCTCTGATGGGATGGGAGACTGGAATGAAGAATGAAATAACCTTCTGAGAAGCAGAAATGTTCCATATTTTGATTGTGGTAGTAATTACATGGATATGCATATTTATTAGAACTCAATCTGTATGCTTAAAATGGGTCCATTTTATGGGACTGTATCTGCCAAGGGATATATTCCACCACCCCCAGTGGATTCCTGAAATTCAATGTATGGTTTTTCCTATACACACACACCTATGACAGTTTAATTTATAAATTAGTCACATTAAGAAATTAACAGTAACCAAAGACAATTAAAATAATATACTATAATAAAAGTTATGTGAATGTGATCTCTTGCTGTCTCAAAATATCTTACTGTATTGTACTCACTCTCCTTCTTGTGATAATGTGAGATGATAAAATGCCTGCGTGATCAGGTAAAGTGAGGTGAATGAAGTAGCATTAGGCTACTACTGACCTTCTGACAATAGGTCAGAAGGAAAATCATCTGCTTCTGGACCATGGCTGATGGAGGGTAACTGAAATCTGGGATAAGAAGGGACTACTGTATTAGAAATTTTTCAAATTTTCATAATGAGACTTCCATGTAAAACCAATCTCACTGAGCATAGCACATGGTAGGTGCTCCATCAATGCAGAAGGAAAGAAGGAAGTGGGGTAACTAGGTAGATTATTTTATAGTCATGGCCCAATAGTATGTATGTATTCTTTACCACCGTTAAGGAATTTACGATCTAGATCAGAATGACATATCACCTCTGAACCAGCTCATTATCTTTAACAGTTCCCACAGATGCCATAGTAGCCTCTGAATCATACTGTCTTAGGGGAAAACATTTTCAAATTCTGAATCCTCCTGTCTTGCTTATTCTCCATTTTTTACTCTTCACTGAGGTTGTGTTCAAGGTCTAGATACACTGAATTTTCCCTGGTTTCTGAGCCCACCATCACCTGAGACAGACTTCAGTGCCACAGCTATCTTTTCATGTGTTTAGCCTGCAAAACTAACAAATTAACCTTCGAAAACCCTTAGGTCCTCCAACTCACCAGGGTATTGAGACTATCAGAAGTGAATATTAAATTTAAAAAATAGCAAGAGAACATATTTCAGAAGATAATATATCAATAGTTGGCATATGAATCAAACAGGGATATTATGTAAAGCCCTAAATGAGCAGGAGATAAAGCTCAATCTAAGCTAGGCTTGCTCTGAACAGGGAGAGGAACAGGTGGAGAGGCTTAAGCAAAAGAAAGACAATAGGAAAGTGATGAATATTACAGAAGAATGAACAAATCCATTCATTTTTCTAGGCTCTAGAGCAAAAAATTTAAGTTTGGATATATGTGTGAGGTAGTCTGAAAAAGCAGATTAAGGCCTCATTTGATAATTACAAAAAGATGTGGGGTACAATAAGCAGATACTGTCATTTAACTATAAGAGGTGAAATTGTCCAAGGTAATAAAACTTCTTAGGAAAAGAGCCAGTACTGAATGAAATTCATTTCTCCTGATTTACAGCCAAATGTTCTTTTACTTAGATCATGATTCTGCTCAATGTTCTCTAACTTTGCTTAATACAACTCTTGATTTTTTTTTAAGATTTTATTTATTCATGAGAGACAGAGAGAGGCAGAGGGAGCAGGCTCCCCAAGGAGCAGGGAGCCTGATGCGGGACTCGATCCCAGGACCCCGGGATCATGACCTAAGCCGAAGGCAGACGCTTAACCAACTGAGCCGCCCAGGTGCCCATAAACAAACTTACCAAAAATAACCTTGTCCCTCCCCCCATTCAGTTCTTCTTGAACCTATATCCTTCACCTGAAGCATACTTTAAGATATACTTTAACATAAATTTTATTATCTTACCAACAGTCCTGATTATTGACATGAGAGGTAAGGGGGTTTCTATGAGTACAGGCCATAGATACATGACCAAGTCTTTCCTATAGCTACTAAAAGATCTGAATTCCAATAATATTTTTTAAAATTAACCTTGAGTTACCGATTAGAAAATTATTAACAGTGACCAGTAAAACAGACTTTCTGCTTACTCACAGATTGGCATTATCACTTATAATGCAGTCAAGGGTGTGTCTAAAAGCACAGGGTACAACTATGTTACTGCTTCCTCATTATAGTAAATATGAGAGGTAACTCAGCTTTCACTGGAACATAAAATGAGCTTTCATTTTTTACGTTCAACAGAAATATGTTTAAATCTTTCCCATATCTCCTAAACCTTCCAAAGACCCTATCTTCCCTTCCTATCACGATAATTCCCTACATTGACAAATTTTTTCAAGAGTACACTCAACTTGTCTCCACTTCAAGTCCCTTGTTCTTATGTAGTACTTATACCTTAGTCATCTACTGAAATTCTAAGGAAACCAATGACATCTTTTCTTTTTTTTAAAGATTTTATTTATTTATTTATTTGAGAGCGAGAGAATGAGAGCGAGCGAGCACATGAGAGGGGGGAGGGTCAGAGGGCGAAGCAGACTCCCTGCTAAGCAGGGAGCCCGATGCGGGACTCCAGGATCATGACCTGAGCCGAAAGCAGTCGCTTAACCAACTGAGCCACCCAGGTGCCCTTTTTTTTTTTTTAAGATTTATTAATTTGAAAGAAAGAGAGAGCTAGAGGGAGAGGGAAAGAGAGAGACAGAGAGCACGCACGAAGGGGGGTGGGTGGGCAGAGGGAGAGGGGAAGCACAATCCCAAGTGAGCAGGGAGCCCAACGTGGAGCCCGGTCCCAGGACTCTGAGATCATGACCCAGCCAAAGGCAGACGCCTACCCCACTGAGCCACCCAGGCGCCCTGGAAAACAGTGACACCTTAAACACCGGAATTAAAGGCCTATTTTTCAAATCTTGGCCTTTTTGAACTCTTGAAGATGGAGGAGCTGGTGTAGAGGTCACCAGAATGATATACTCACTGAGCTCTCACTCTGTGTACTAATTAAGCTTTCAAAAATGTTCCATTTCATCCTCACATCGTATTAATTACCCCCCTTTCATTAAAATTGAGACTCAAAACTACCCAAAGCCAGACAGTGAAGCCTGCACGATCCCAATGTTTGCAATTCTGGGATATTAAGTTTTGTTCCCAGTTCTCTAACTCTCTGGCCTTTTCTCCATCTTTCTATTTCATCATCGTCTACTCATCACTGCTTCTCTTGTTTTAGATGCTCTCCTGGGCAATTTCATTTCCTTCCATGACTTTAACTACATTCTATATTCATGTTTCTCAATCTTAAAGCTTTTTATAAACAAAAAGTTTTGTGCTCTTTCTGTAGTTTACATTTTTTTAATTTTTATTTTTTTAATTAACATATAACGTATTATTTGTTTCAGGGGTACAGGTATGTGATTCATCATTCTTACATTTTGAAAACAGCTTGTCTTCCCCAAATAGAACATCTAACGTTGAGTATGTTTTGTTCAAACTACACCTCCTCCTGCCTCTCAAGATCTGATACCCTCTTATGCATCACCCCGTGGCTGAGGGTCTGTATGTCTCTCAAATCAATCTTTTTCTTCTCTTCACCCCACCCCCATATCTCTCCTGAGTTACAGACAAATATCACCAACTGGATATGGATAGTTCCATGCTTCTCTCCCTTGGTCCTTCAACTTAAAGTCATCCACAACTAAACTCTCCTTTCCCTTAGCAAACCTGTACTACCTACCTCTTTGGATTCTCCATTTTGGTTAAGGGTTATTACAATCCATCCTGTCTATGCTTTAATGTATTTATTTGTGAAACAGTGATATTGGCACTAAGTTCTCTGATCTCTACTAGCTCAAAAATCAACCATTAGGGGCACCTGGGTGGCTCAGTCAGTAAAGCTTCTGACTCTTGATTTAGACTCAGGTCATGAGCTCAGCCAGAGGTGGGACTCCACGCTGGGCCTGGAGCCTGCTTAACATTCTCTCTCCCTCCCTCTCTAAAAAAAATATATAAACCATTAAACAATGATTGACTATTATAGCCAAAAGCTGATGAATGCAAAATCCCACAAGATTTAATCCTCTTCCTCTTTCACAAGTCTATAAGCAGAAACAAACCCAAAACAATTTTGTGAAGCGTTTTTTTCCCCACTTACAAAACAAAATTAACTTTACAAAATATTTTAATGGAATCCTTACTATAATCCCATTATTACCCCCACTTTACAAGTGAAAAAACTGGGACTCAAAGGGATTAGGTAACTTAGAGTTACGTGCTAAGTGGTAGGTCTAGACCCCAAACCCTAGGACGTGAGATTTCAAATTCTATTCTTTCTATGATTGTAGAAACAAACTTCACAATAAAACGAAAACAGGTCTGTGCACAACGGCGGTCAAAGGAGCAGCACACAGCCAAATACGAAATGGCCCAAGGCGACCTGAACTCGCTCTAGATTGGGAGGGGCCGCCTGGCCCGACCCTCGCTCCGACGCCCCCCTCCCAGGCCTCTCCCCCCTGGAAGTCCCCCTGCGGCCTGTCCCAGGCCGGCCAGGTCCGCGGTGACGGCAGGAAAACCTCGCTCCGCGCCTCGGGGCGTGCTGGGCAGAGGCTCACGCGGCTAACCGGTGCGGCCCGGCCGGAGGCTGAGTCCTAATTGGGCCGCAGCCGCCGCGCCTTCAGCCTCCGGGACAGCCGACCCGTGGGCAAGAAGCGTACCTGGTGAAGGAGGCAGCTGAAGGGCAGGCGGTCCCGGCGACCCTAAGAGGCGGGAATGACCCTGTTGGCGGGCTAGCCTCCGGGGCTAACTGCATTCACTACGTTAGGTCAACAGGAGTAACAAGGACTCTTCAAAGGAGCGGACGGACCCAAAGCCACCAGCGAAGAGCCGGGACCTGAAGCCTCGAAGGTACCAACGTGGGGGAGGGCCAGGGGGCGGAGACGCGGCCCGTGGGGGCGGGGCGCGCGGCGCGAGGAGGCGGGCACGTGGGGGCGAGCGCGAGGCGGGGCGCGGCGCGAGGCGGGGCGCGGCGCGCGGCGTGAGAGAGGGCGGGGCGCGCGTATGGGCGCCGCGGCCGCGTGACGCGTTTTCAAATCTTCAACCGCCGCAGCCCACTCGTTTGTGCTTTACCTCTTCCTCCTCCGCGCCTTGGAGTCGAATCCGGCGCCGGAAACCCGGAGGGTAGACGCGGCATCTCTTGCGTGGGTGTGGTAGTCTGCGGAAGGGGAAGAGGTGACCGTCTGATAAATCGGTCTCGTCGAGCTGTGTTTTCGTGGCCGCCCGGCGCGACACCCTCCCGAACCCAGCATGTAGGTGCCGGGCGGCTGCCATGAACTCCGGAGCCATGAGGATCCACAGCAAAGGACATTTCCAGGGTATGAAGCCCCTCCTCCGCTGCGGCCCTTTAATCCTTTCCTCCCCTCGTGGTTCCACCATTGATTCTTTAGTTCTTCCCCTTAGGTCCCTGCTCCTTTTCTTTTCTGGCTTGTGCGTCCTTATCTGTGGCCTGAAGGAAGGCTCCGTCCAGGGCTTTGCCTCAGAAAGGGAGAGGATCCCAGCCGGGCCCCTCGCGCTGTTCACGCTCCCGCCGCGGCCCAAAATTCCCGGAGGTTGTAAAACGAGAAAACAATGTGCGGACCCGGGACCTGGCCGGGCCTCGGACAGATGCTGAGACTCAGCACAGGCCCTTTGAGGCTGCAGCTCTGTCCTCAATTTGAAAGCAGAGGTGCTCGTGGCTTTTAGGTTCATGATTAAATTGGGTGATTGTGGGTGGGTTTTGGCCTTATTTTTAAATTTATTTTCCTTCACTCGTAAAGTTAAGGTATAGCATTTGTATTTCAAATACATCATTGCTGTTTTCAACATTATAGACAGAAACAAAAGCACGTTTCCATTTCGACTACTTTGGTAAAACATTATAGCTTTCAAGTGTTTTTTCTTTTTTAATATGTCTAGAATATATATGTCGTATATATATAGGAATTTTCAACGTATGAACAGATTGTTATGAAAGTTAATTTTTAAAGCAGTTGTTTCGATCTCAGATCTGTTTTGAAAGGAAATAATGAAGTGAATGGTGATTTGGCTCTTAAATGGACCATTTATTTCTTAATACATAGACTATAGGAAACTAAACCTTGGAAACTTTTGAGGACTAGGTCATCATGTGTAACAGGTTTCTTGTGTAGGTAAGTGTTCAACAGAATGGCAGATGCTCCATAAATATTTCTGAGTAAATACCCCATGGAGTTTACATCGTAAGGAGGAAAATCTTTCAAAAAGGTTTTAGTTTCCACTGTAATACGTAAAAACATGAACAAATACATAAATATTTACTGCAAATTCATTTATTGCCTGTGAACAATAATTATTTTACAATATAGTATCTGTTAAAACAAGTATGGTATTTTGGTTTTTTTTTAAAGATTTTATTTATTTGAGAGAGAGCACGAGAGGGAAGAGGGTCAGAGGGAGAAGCAGACTCCCTGCCGAGCAGGGAGCCCGATGTGGGACTTGATCCAGGGACTCCAGGATCATGACCTGAGCTGAAGGCAGTCGCTTAAACAACTGAGCCACCCAGGCGCCCTGGTGTTTTGGTTTTATCCGAAGTGGAACTACAAAGAAATACATTAAAATGCTATTGAGTTTTTAATTGGTGGGATTATAAAGATTTTTTTCCCCTCTGTGATATGATGATGCCTGTATAAAAAATATTTTTAGAACAGTAGAAATTTTGTCTGCATAAAACGATCTAATTCTACATTTTTTTAAACAACAGGTGGAATCCAAGTCAAAAATGAAAAAAACAGATCTTTAAAATCTATGAAAACTGATAACAAACCAGAAAAATCCAAATATAAGCCGCTCTGGGGAAAAATATTTTACATTGACTTACCTTCTGTCACCATATCTGAAAAACTGCAAAAAGACATTCAGGATCTGGGAGGGGTAAGTCAAAACTATGTACACTTTGACAAAAAAGGAAAAATTTGTAACAAGTATTTTCTAACATGTAATCATTTTAGATTATCATATTGGGAAACAACCATATAAGCACCAAGTTTAAAACTTTTATCAACTGTTTAACATTAATGAAAAACTATTTGTTTTAACCTTTTGTAGCCTAATAGGACTTCCGGGTTTCTGTGATTTTTAGTCGAGTGTAAAGTTCACAAAGTGTGAGAAATGTGACTCCCTCCTTTGTCCTGGTGGAACCTCTGATTGCCTTCTCACTGTAATGTTTGTATGTCCTCCAGATAGCAGGAACTCCTTGATAGTGGTTATCGGGGAACTATATAAATTTGTCTAGACTAGCATAACAGTAAGAATGTTATTTGCCGAACAAGGAGAACCTCTTTGAACCACAAAGAGTTAAATTACTTGGAGTGGTAACAGTCTCAACAGAATGAATGTCATTGGGGAACAGAATTTGGGTTAAGAATATTGAAAGCTCTCTTTCTTAACTTATACATTGAGTAAATGATTAAGAAATTAGAAAATTTGAGTAAAATTCTAAGATTTTCTTAGGAGTAAAGTTAACGTTGGGTAGGTTTTAGCAAGTGAGGTTAAGAATTTATTAATTTCTTTACTAATTCTTTCTATTTAAAAAGGTTTTTGCTACACTTTGAATTTGTTGAATAATCTTTGAATAATCTGCCATTCCTAGAATAGAATTTTGCAGAAGAACATGTAACAAATTTCTCAGAGTTGTTTTTTGGTGTGATCTTCATTTATTTATTTGAAAGTGCAAGACAGAGAGCATGGGCACGGGGGGTTGGGGGCGCAGAGGGGAGGGAAAAGCAGATGCAGGGCTGGAACTCAAGACCCTGGAATCATGACCTGAGCCAAAGGCAGATGCTTAAGCGGTCGAGCCACCCAGGTATCCCTTGTTACTCATTTTCTTAAAACATTGTCACATTGTCATAACAGTATATCATATCATAATGACCATATGACTGCATTCCTAAAAATCATGTTTTATAGGCCAGCCACCTTTGAATAAAGACTCCTTTCTTTTATTCATTTAGAAAGTAAGTGCTTAAGGGTCCAGAGAAGTAAAATGACTGGCCCAGTGTGGGATTAGCCTCCTAATTCCCAGACTAATATACTACTACATCATTAGTAGTCGTATATTACTCCACTGGCGTAGCAATTAATGGCTACAAAACAGTTTCACAGCTTTCTCAAATATGATGAATAACCCATTAACCTTTTATGATCTAAATCAGTGATTTCAGGGGTGCGTGGTTGGCTCAGTCAGTTAAGCATATGCCTTCGGCTCAGGTCATGATCCCAGGGTCCTGGGATCAAGCCCCGAATCGAATCGGGCTCCCTGCTCAGCTGGGAGCCTGGTTCTCCCTCTGCCTGCTGCTCCCCCTGCTTGTGCTCGCGCGCGCTTTCTCTCTCTGTCAAATAAATAAATAAAAATCTTAAAAAAAAGTAAATCAGTGATTTTAGATTTGTATTTTTAGCAGTAGAACTCTTCAAGCAAAATCATTCAGAAGTCTAATGTATAAAGCCAGTAAAAAGGAAGCTGTTAAGGTAAAACAGCAGTTCTAGTTAGTACAGGGATGCATGCCCTGCGCCCTTTTTCTCTCATTCCCACAGCAGTTGCTGAGGCACTACAAGAAACAAGTTTTGAATTAACTTATGCATTTGATAATAGTTGGGAGACCTTTTGGTTTTATACACTTCAAATTTTTATCATAAAATGGTTTGAAGTAGACCAGTTAAGTGAAGACCATATTAAGAACATAAGTTTTCACATTTTTTTCTTCGAGTTGTGGATTTTCAACTGAATATGACTTGTTAACTGTACTTCTTAATTTCTCTTTTTAAAATTTTTTTTATCAGATTATGATCCCTCCCCACACTATCTTTCCAATACTTTAGTGATGTACTGATTTCTGTTCTTACAACATTACCATCTCTATCCCTAAAATAAAAAGACTTCTTTCTGATGATCTGTTACATGAATTATAAAGGAATCTTGATCTCTAGACACTTCAGAGTTTTAGGGTTCAACTTTAAGAAATACTTAGTTGAATAGATATTCCTTGAAAAGTTGATTCTTGTTACTTAATTTTTAGGATTACTTAGGCCCTTTATCATTTTGTAACTTATCTTCAGATTATAACCAGTGTTGTCTTTTTCTGTAATTGTCTACTTTGTGCATTTGTTTTCTCTACTCTTAATGAACACATACCCCATTTTCCTGGAGAGTACACTTCTGACAAATTCAACCACTGAAAACACAGCAGTGAAGTCTGACATAGGGAAATATCTTTTAATAGTGGCAAGGAGTGTAGCTGTTACAAGACCATCTAAAAAGGACATGGAACCAACCATATTTAGGTCCATATTTAAACATTCTGGGCTAAAATAAAGCATTTGGAGAAGAATAGAGATGTAAGGGTAAATGCCTTGCCATAAATGAACTTGAAGACAGAGTTACTTGTTCATTATAACCTTGAGTGACTCAAAAATATTTCAAGTTTATTCTTTAAAAGACCTAAATTCAACAATAGCTAATAAATTGAAGACCATGATGAAACTAAGTTAGTACTTCTGGGGTATGGTATTGTTTTGGTAGATTTCAAAAATGAATCTTATGTCCATCCTGCCTCTGATCTAGGTAGAGATTGCATGGATACAATTAATTGTAACACAACATGTAATATCAACAAGAGGGAGAAATTACTTCCAATTAAGAAATCTTGGAAGCTGTTGTACAGACACAATTTGAAGTCAGCTTTGAAGGATGATTATGATTTGGGCATGTGGAAATTCATCCAAAAATTACTCCACTGGCGTCTTTAATATGCTAGCACTTTTAGCTACAGGGGATGCAAAAATATATAAGATGTAGTCTACTGCTCTCAGTCTATGGGAACATCAGACACCTAAATCATTTATTGTATAGATCAGTGCTTTAACAGAAGTTAATGTAGATGTTGCCATTAAAATACATTGAAGTGGGGCGCCTGGGTGGCTCAGTTGGTTAAGCATCTGACTCTTGATCCCAGCTCAGGTCTTGATCTCACGTTTGTGAGTTCAAGCCCCACGTTGGGCTCCACACTGGGCATGGAGCCTACTTAAAGAAGAATATAGAGAAGAAAATGATTAACTTTGCCTTTAGGAATCATAGCAGAGATAGAACTTAACCTAAGTCTTGAAAGTCTAGTAGAAATATACCAGATAGAATGGACAAACTAAATAGAGGGAAGAATATATTTAAAGTTAAGTATAATTTGAGCAACTACTGATACTATAATGTGACTTGAGCTTGGGATTTAGATGGGGAGAAATAGCAAGAAACAATGTTATATCAGGGCTAAACTGTGAAGGATGTTTTATTTACTACTGAAGAATTATAACTCTTTCTATAGGAACTGGAAAACCAAAGGAAATGTGTGGTACTAGCATAAGGACATAGAGACTAATGCAACAAAATAAGAGACCCTAGAAGTAAACCATCGCATATATGGTCAGTTGATTTTCAGCAAGGGTGCTAAGACCATTCAGTGGAGAAAGGACAATCTTTACAATAGCTTATGCGAGGAAAACTGCTGAAGAATGAAGTTAGACCATTAGTGCACATCATATGCTAAAATTAATTAAAAATGGGTCAAGTTCTAAATGTAAGCTAAAACTCTTAGAGGAAAGTATAAGGAAAAGCTTAGAGGAAAGTATACGGAAAAGCTTCATGACATTGGATTTGGTGTTGATTCTTTGGATATGAAACCAAAGGCATAGAGAACAAATGAAAAATAGATAAATTGGACTTCATAAAAATGAAAAGGTTTTGTTCATAAATGGGTAATATCAAGAGGGTAAAAAGACAACCCACAAAATGGGAAGAAAAGATATTTGCAGATCATATATCTGATAGGGGATTAATGTCCAGAAGGAGATACCATGTCACATCTGTTAGGATGGTCAGTATCAAAAAAAAAATATGTGTTGGCAAGAATGTTTGGAATTTGGAACCCTTTTGGGTTGGTGGATTTGTAAAATGGTACAGCTGCTATGGAAAACAGAAGTTTAACCCAAAAGAATTGAGAGCAGGGCCTTGAAGAGATATTTATATACTCATGTGCATAGCAGCATTATTCACAATAGACAAAAAGTGGAAACAACCCAAATTTTCATCAACAGATCAATGGATGAACAAAATGGGTATACATACAATGGAATATTATTCAACCTTGAAAAGGAATGAAATTCTTACCCTTGCTAAAACATGGATAAACCTTGAAAACACTGTGCTAAGCAAAATAACTCAGACACAAAAGGACAAATATAGTATTTAATATATATAATTCATCTATATGAATTATCTAGAATAGTTAAATTTATAGAAACAAAGTAGAACACAGATTAAAAGGGGCTAGAAAGAGGAGAAGGTGGGGATTTACATTTAATGGATAGTTTCAGCTTAGGATGATGAAAAAGTTACAGAAATGTACAGTGGTGATGGTTGCACAACATTGTAAATGTACTTCCTGTCACTGAATTGCATACTGAAAACTGGTTAAAATGATCAATTTAATATGTATTTCATCACAATTTTTAAAAAATGTTTAGGAGAGTGTGTTCCTTTTGAAAAATTGGAACCTCTGGCAATGCTAAGGCCACATATTTATGAAAATGAAGAAAGCATTTGATGTGTAAATTGTGCATTTATATCCCTGCTGGCCCTCGTAAGCATTTAAGTTGGTAATCCCTGAAATAAATAAATGTGGATATCTTATTTACTGGTTGATGAAAATACTACTTATAAAAAAGGGAAGTAATGATTTACACTTAAGGGGGCCACTGGTGTAAGCAGCAAATTCTGCTTAATGCTTAGACGGAATTCATTTGTTACATATTTTGCTTCATTTTTTCTTTATTATTCCCCTTTATGTTGTGAGATACTAAGAAACTGTAGCTGTTTAAAATATTATAGAAATACTTCATTATGAAAATAGTTATGATTACTAGTATTTATTTCTACTTTAATTTTTCTGCCCTTGGATGGGAATGATCTTTGATATAACATTGACATCTGGTACTTGGGTTTATAAATTCAGGATTTAAGCAGTGGTTTTCAAACATTTTAGTTGGGAAATCATCTTCAGTCTTACACTCTGAGGGTAAGGGTCCCTTTCTTCCTGTTAAAATCTTATGGTAAGATGTTAACTGATTTTGAACTGTCCTGCCCTGTATGATAGCCATCAGGTACATGTGACTATTTAAATTTAATTAATACTATATTGAAGAAAACTTAAAATTCACTTGCTCAGTCATATTAGTTACCTTTGTTACATTTTAAGTGCTGAGTAGCCACATGTGGCGAGTTGCTACCATATTGGATAATGCTGATAAAGAACATTAGCCATTACATTCAGTTCTACTGGACAGTTGTGCGTTTAGAGCGTGGACTTGAATCAGAATATCTGTATTCATACTCTGTTATTTACTACTCATGTAACCTCAACCAAGTCACTTCTCTATTTAATTTTCTTTTCCACAAAATGTGGATATTAGTAATACTAGTACCATGGGGTTGTTATATGCGTTAAATTAATTGGGATATATAAAGTACTTAAAAATAGTATTTAGCATATGCTGGTTGTTACCGGAATGCCCATTGTACTTCCTCAGAACTCAGATTCAGAAGAACACAGTATGAAAACCACCAGTTTTCAAAATACTGAAATGCATCAAATTGGTATTTTACACTGTACCTGAAATATGAAACAGTTTATGGTTTATATGGCTTATTTGAAAATACTTTGTTCTCCTTTAGCGAGTTGAAGAATTTCTCAGCAAAGATATCAGTTACCTTATTTCAAATAAAAAGGAAGCTAAATTTGCACAAACGTTGGGAAGAGTTTCTCCTGTACCAAGTCCAGAATCTGCATATACTGCAGAAACCACTTCACCTCATCCCAGCCATGATGGAAGTTCATTTAAATCTCCAGATTCAGTAAGTCTCTTAAATGTGCTTTGAGACCTTCAGAAAGACTGTAGCCTGAGGATCTCATGATTTTCAAGAGCAGACTGGCAGCAGAGTTCACTTAGGTAGAACAATATCTACATTATGGGTGGCTTTCCAATCGATAACGTTACTGTTGTATAGAAAGGTGATTTGTCTCCTAATACTTTGGGGTCATACTCTGCTAAAATAATATTTTTTGCCTTTGGGGATGGCTTTTATTTTTAAGAGTTATTTACAACTAAAAAGTAACAGCAGATCATATTTAAAGTAGAAATGGAAACCTTTGTTTCACAGCAGGAGTAAGCAAACTATGGCATGGGCCAAGTCCAGCCTGCCTCTTTTTTACAGCCTTTGAGTTAAGCATGGTTTTTACATCTTCGAATGCTTGGGCAAAAATTGAGACTATTTTATGACAAATTAAAATTCAGATACCAGTGTCCATAAATAAAGTTTTATTGGAACACAGCCAGACCTGTTCATTTGCATATTAACTGGTTGCTTTCCTGCTATAAAGGAAGTACTGGATAGTTAGGACAAGTACTATATGGCCTGTAGAACCTAAAACATGTGCTATCTGGCCCTTTACAGAAAAAGTTTGCCAGCCCCTGTTTTAGGTACTGGTATCACATCTCTGTTACTCCATTGACAAGTTAGAAGATACAGTGAAGGTTAAATTGGGGAGGGGGAAAAATAGAAATACAAGAAGAAAAGTCAAGGAAGGTTCATGTATTTTTTTCACTTTAATGCTCTTTTGGAGGAATGAGATTATATACTAGTGACTAGTTCCAAATTAATTGTTCCTCGCAGCATTTCAATTGCTTTTCCAGTGTTGTATTTAAAATGGGAAATACCAAAATATATATATGTATATGGATATAAAATTTAGTCATATTTTCAAATCTTCATTTGAATACAAAATTAGAATCTAAACTTGTTAATTATAGACAATTTACTACAGAACTGAACTTTGTTATCATTCAGTTGTTTAGTTGCTCTATCAAAAAAAGCAAACTTTTTAATAGATGTTATTATAAAGACCCAAAGGAAATCGTTCTTTACTATACTTTATTGTGTTGATACTTACTGAGACTTGTACAAATAAATTTTGTCTATTTTAAATTTTATATTAAAATTTATAGATTTTATCAATTTATTTTAGCTATTTTATATTTTTAAGTTTTTTTCCAGTGAGGCACTGTGTTACAACTTTTTAATGTTTGAGCTCTGATTTTTTTTATAGGTGTGTTTGAGCAGAGGAAAATTATTAGTTGAAAAAGCTATCAAGGACCATGTAAGTATGAAATTTAAAAATTTACTGTATAGATTCTGTTAACTCAAGTGGAAATGGAGATGTTCCTGAAATCTTCCTTTTCTCATTTTTAATAGGAAAAGCCTAAATATCAGCATGTATCTCATTTTACAAAGAACAGAATCTACTTTTCATGAAGAAACATCTCCATCTTGTGGCCTTTTAAAATATTGCTGGAGATGTATAAAGCTTTTGGCATTTTTGTTTTTTAAATGAAATTTCTTGAAACTGTTAACTGTAAGACTACAATTGCATTAATTGTCAAGCATATGGGAATATATTAAACAGGGTTAATTTATAAATTCCAGAAGGAAAAACTGATGTACTGATTGCTATTGTAACTATATAGAATCTGTTCTGAATACCTTCCTCAGTGACATTTATCTTCAAATAATTTTTTTAGCTCACTTAAATTTGTAATTTTCTAGAAAAACTCTTAAGCCTTTTTTTATTTTACAGGATTTTATTTCTTCAAATAGTATATTATCAAATGCCTTATCATGGGGAGTAAAAATTCTTCATATTGATGGTAAGGATGTTGTTACCAGTTTTTTTGACAGTATTTGTTAAAAGTATTAATTTGTGCTCTTTGGTTCCTGATTTTACATAGGCAGAATTCTGATAGCAAGAGATAGCTATAATGGTAAATCACCTAAATCTAGTACAAAGAAAATAGCAGTGTTTAACTCCAGAGGTAAAAATGCTAATCTTAAGCCTTTTTTTTTTTTAAATGAAGACATTAGATACTACATTGAACAGAAGAAAAAAGAACTATATTTACTCAAGAAATCAAGCACTTCTGTGAGAGATGTGGTATGTTATTTTCCTTAACTTTTAAACTAATTAAAGAAAGTGATCAAGGTTGATTTTTTTTTTTATCTGTAAATTTTTCTTACCAAGTAGAAAGTATTACTGCCTGAATATCCTAAGGGTAAACCTTTGTGTTGTATTCATGTTTCCATTATTTGAATAAATTATCGTGTTATCATTTAACTTAGGATTTCCTCATGAGGTAAAAGTTGTTCCTAGGAGGATGGCAAGTTTTATTTATTCTTTCTTCTTTGGTTGCTGCTGCTTTTAACAAGCTACTTTAGTTCATTCTGAAGGAAAACATAATGGCTTATTGCATGAAAGCTTCTAATATGTAAAATATACTTCTTTCAATTGCTGTAGATAGCATATTTATAAATTTTTATAAAATACTGGGTGAATATTCCTTAATTGAAGTAGGTTTTAAATACATATAAATTATCTTTATTGCACTTTACAGATTTTTTGGATTGTATATAGAAATAAATGTATGAAAATGTAAACTCACAAAGACATTATGGTTTCAGAATACACCAGTATGTCATTTCTCTCTATATGCAGTGTATATAAATATATATTTGAAACAAGTTTCATGAGACATTGCTTATCCTTAATGTGATTCATGCCAGTATTTCTATAGTATTCTATTTTCATTTTTAAAAAGTATTCAGGGGAGCACCTGGGTGGCTCAGTCAGTTGAGTGTCTGACTCTTGATTTTGACTCAGGTTGTGATGATCCCTGGGTTATAGGATCGAGCCCCATGTCATTCTCTGTGCTCAGCAGGGAGTCTGCTTGAGATTCTTTCTCTCTCCTCCTCTCCCTCTGCCCCCTCCCTGCTCACTTGCTCTCAAATCAATCTTTAATCAGTCTTTTTTTTTATTATGTTATGTTAATCACCATACATTACATCATTAGTTTTTGATGTAGTGTTCCATGATTCATTGTTTTCGTGTAACACACAGTGCTCCATGCAGTATATGCCCTCTTTAATACCCATCACCAGGCTAACCCATCCCCCCACCCCCCTCCCCTCTGGAACCCTCAGTTTGTTTCTCGGAGTCCACAGTCTCTCATGGTTCATCTCCCCTCTGATTTCCCCCCCTTCATTTTTCCCTTCCTGCTATCTTCTATTTTGTTTTTTTAACATATAATGTATTATTTGTTTCAGAGGTACAGGTCTGTGATTCAACAGTCTTTGACAGTTCACAGCACTCACCATAGCACATATCCTTCCCAATGTCTATCACCTAGCCACCCCATCCCACCCCCCAGCACTCCAGCAGCCCTCAGTTTATTTCCTGAGATTAAGAATTCCTCGTATCAGTGAGGTCATATGATACATGTCTTTCTCTGATTGACTTATTTTACTTAGCGTAATACCCTCTAGTTCTATCCATGTCTTTGCAAATGGCAAGATTTCATTCCTTTTGATGGCTGCATAATATTCCTTTATATATATATATGTATATATATATATTTATATATATACGTATATACGTACACACACACACACCACATTTTCTTTATCTGTTCATCTGTCGATGGACATCTTGGCTCTTTCCACAGTTTGGCTGTTGTGGACATTGCTGCTATAAACATCGGGATGCACGTACCCTTTCGGATCCCTACATTTCTGTCTTTGGGGTAAATACCCAGTAGTGCAATTGCTGGGTTGTATGGTAGCTCTATTTTCAACTTTTTTTTTTTTTAATTTATTTATTTGAGAGAGCGAGAATGAGAGAGAGTACATGAGAGGGGGGAGGGTTAGAGGGAGGAGTAGGCTCCTCGCTGAGCAGGGAGCCCGATGCAGGACTCGATCCCGGGACTCCAGGATCATGACCTGAGCCGAAGGCAGTCGCTTAACCAACTGAGCCACCCAGGCGCCCTATTTTCAACTTTTTGAGGAAACTCCATACTGTTTTCCACAGTGGCTGCACCAGTTTGCATTCCCACCAACAGTGAAGGAGGGTTCCCCTTTCTCTGCATCCTCACCAACATCTGTTGTTTCCTGACTTGTTAATTTTAGCCATTCTGACTGGTGTGAGGTGGAATCTCATTGAGGTTTTGATTTGGATTTCCCTGATGCCGAGTGGTGTTGAGCACTTTTTCATGTGTCTCTTGGCCATTTGGATGTCTTCTTTGGAAAAAATGTCTGTTCATGTCTTCTGCCCATTTCTTGATCAGATCATTTGTTCTTTGGATGTTGAGTTTAATAAGTTCTTTATAGATTTTGGTTATTAGCCCTTTATCTGATATGTCATTTGCAAATATCTTCTCCCATTCTGTCGGTTGTCTTTTGGTTTTGTGGACTGTTTCCTTTGCTGTGCAAAAGCTTTTAGTCTTGGTGGAAGTCCCAATAGTTCATTTTTGCCCTTGCTTCCCTTGCCTTTGGCAATGCTTCTAGGAAGAAGTTGCTGCGGATGAGGTCGAAGAGGTTGCTGCCTGTGTTCTCCTTTAGGATTTTGATGGACTCCGGTCTCACATTTAGGTGTTTCAACCATTTTGAGTCTATTTCTGTGTGTGGTATAAGGAAATGGTCCAGTTTCATTCTTCTGCATGTGGCTGTCCAATTTTCCCAACACCATTTGTTGAAGAGACTGTCTTTTTTCCATTGGACATTCTTTCCTGCTTTGTCGAAGATTAGTTGCCCATAGAGTTGAGGGTCCATTTCTGGGCTCTCTATCCTGTTCCATTGATCTATGTGTCTGTTTTTGTGCCAGTACCATACTGTCTTGATGATTAGAACTTTGTAATAGAGCTTGAAGTCTGGAATTGTGATGCTGCCAACTTTGCTTTTCTTTTTCAACATTCCTCTGGCTATTCGGGGTCTCTTCTGGTTCCATACAAGTTTTAGGATTATTTGTTCCATTTCTTTGAAAAAAACTGATGGTATTTTGATAGGCATTGCATTGAATATGTAGATTGCTCTAGGTAGCATTGACATCTTTACAATACTTGTTCTTCCAATCCATGAGCATGGAACGTTAATCAGTCTTTTAAAAAAATATTCAGGGAGGGGCAGCTGGGTGGCTCAGTCGATTAGGTGTCCAACTCTTGGTTTTGGCTCAGGTCATGATCTCAGGGTTGTGAGATTGAACCCCATGTCCAGATTCTGCTTGAGATTTCCCCCCCTTCTGCTCCTCCCCACACTGTGTGCTCTCTCTCTAAAATAAATAATAAAATCTTTAAAAAAAAAAGTATTCAGGAATATTTTGTTTACACATGCAACCATCAATATTCAACAGATACTCAGTCCTATTAGGTGCCAGGCACTGGGAGTATTTGCTCTCATGAAACAAAAACAATGGGAAGTGTGATAAATAGCCATGAAACAGATCTTACTTTTCTCTCAAAACCAAAAGGATTAGAATACCAAGTATCTCTGTAATTCAGGATGTATAACTGGTCAGTTTGATTCTAATACTTGAAAATTTTTTATGTCTGTAAAAAAATGTTTTTGGAAAATTTCTGGTTTGTCAAGTACTAAAACAAAATTTTTCAATAAAGATGCATTTGTGGGTCTTGAGTCTTGAATGGACATGTATAAATTTTAAGCACACTAAAGGCATAAATTTTAAAACAGTAATTATATTTTCTTAAATACTCTTGTTAGCATTTATCTTTTAAAAAAGTTGAATGAATGTATTTTGTTTCACTATTTAAAAGTGCTTGGAGTTTTTTTTTTTCTTATTTTACCTGAAACTTTGAGGATTTTTTGTGTATGTATACATGAGGAATGTTGGTCTTTTACTTTTTTTTTTTTAAGATTTTATTTATTTATTTTGACAGAGACAGCAAGAGAGGGAACCACAAGCAAGGGGAGTGGGAGAGGGAGTAGCAAGCTTCCTGCTGAGTTTGATCCCACTACCCTGGGATCATGACCTGAGCTGAAGGCAGACGCTTAACAACTGAGCCACCCAAGCGCCCTGGTCTTTTACTTTTTGATATCTTTGGTTTTAGTGTCAGGGTAATGCTACTCTCATGAGATGCTGGGACGTATTTCCACTTACATTTTCTAGACAAGTTTTTATAGAGTTGCTTTTATTTCTTAAGTTTTGATAGTATTTACTAGGAAGGTTATCTGGGCCCATAATTTTTTGTTGGAAAATTCCCAACTATGAATTCAGTTTCTTTATTAGATAAAAGAAATTCAGGTTATTTATTTCTTATTGAGTGCACTTTGGTAGTTTGTATTTTTTAAGGAATTTGTACTTGTTTAAACTGTCAAATTGATGGTAAAAAAGTATTTGTAATATTCCCTTATTAAGCTTTCAGTGTTTATGGAGTCTGAATGATGTCTTTCATTCCTGAGATCATTATTCCTTTTTTTTTCTCTTTGATCAGTTGGGCTAGAGTTTTATCAATTTCATCTTTTTTTTTTTTTTTTAAAGATTTTATGTATTTATTTGACAAAGAGAGAGACAGTGAGAGAGGGAACACAAGTAGGGGGAGTGGGAGGGGGAGAAGCAGGCTTCCTGCGGAGCAGGGAGCCCAATGTGGGGCTCTATCCCAGGACCCTGGGATCATGACCTGAGCCGAAGGCAGACGCCTAACAACTAAGCCACCCAGGTGCCCTCAATTTCATCTTTTCAAAGAACCAGCTCTACTCTAAATTCTTTTTTAAGCTCTGCTTTACTGCTATTCCACACATTTTATGTAAAACTTCGTGTGTGTGTGTACACACACACACACACACACTCTTTCAGAGCACCTGTAGGTTCATAGCAAAATTGAGTAGAAGGCACAGATATTCCCATATACCCCTTGCCTTTCAGTAACACACAGCCTCCTCCACTATCAACATCCTGTACCACAGTGGTACATTCGTTATAAATTGATGAACCTTTATTGACAAGTCATCCTCACTAAAGTCCATAGTTTACTTTAGGGTTCACTCTTAGTGTTGTACACTGTATAAGTTTACACAAATGAATAGTGACATGTATTTGTCATCACAATATCCTACAGAATAGTTTTCATAAAAATGTTCCATGCTACATCTGTTCATCCCTCCCTCCCTCACTTACTCCTAACAACTACTGATCCTTTTTCCATAGTTTGGCCTTTTCCAGCGTGTCATATATTTGGAGCCATACAATATATAGCCTTTTCAGATTGTCGTCTTCAGTAAGTGATAGGCATTTAAAATTTCTCCATGTCTTTTCATGACTTGATAGCTTTTTTTTTTTTTTAATTGCTGAATGATTCCATTGTCTGAATTTGCCACAGCTCATCCACCTTCTGAAAGACATCTTGGTTGCTTCCGAGCTTTGACGTTACACATAAATTACGTATATAAACATCCATGTGTAGGTTTTTGTGTGGACATTAGTTTTCAACACATTTGGATAAATACCAAGGAGCATGATTGCTGCATTATATGGTAAGAGTATGTTTAGTTTGGTAAGAAGCTACCAAACTGTCTTCCAAAATGGCTGTACCATTTTGCATTTCCACCAGCAATGAATGAGCTGTTACTGATTTCTTTTTTAATTCTGTTATGGTCAGAACACATACTTCATGTGATTTCAGTTCTTTTAAGTTTGTCAAGGTTTGTATTGTCCAGAATACAATCTGTCTTTTTTTTAAGATTTTATTTATTTGAGAGAGAGCGCACACATGTTGTGCAGGAAGAGGGGAGAGGAGACAGGAAGGGAGAGGGAAAGAGAGAGGATCTCCAGTGGACTCTGCACCGAGGGTGGAGCTCAACACGGGGCTTGATCTCACAACCCAGAGATCATGAACTAAGCCGAAACCAAGAGTCGGACACTTAACCCACTGAGCCACCCACGTGCCCCCAGAATATAGTCTGTCTTAATGCAAGTTCCATGTGCACTTAAAATCATGTATTCTAAGGTTAATGGGTAGAATGTTCTATAGTTGTCAAATAGGTCAAATTGTATAGCTTTTCCGTATTCATACTGATACTCTGTCTTATTCTAGCCATTATGGAAAGAGAGGGGAATATTGAAGTTGCCAAATATGTTGTGGGTTTGTGTATTTTTCCTTCTAGTTCTATCATAGTTTTTGATTTGTGTATTTTGAGCCTCCTTAGATGTGCACACATCTGATATTCTCTGTCTTCTTGGTGAATTGACCTTGTTACTATATAACATCCCTCTGTCCCTGTTAGTATTCCTTGTTCTGAAGTCTCTGAATATACTATAACCACTCCAGCTTCCTTTTGATTAATGTTTACATGGTCTTTTTTATTCCTTCTACATTTAACATATCTATGTGTTTATTTTTAAAATGGGTTTCTTATAGATAGTTGAAAGCTGTCTTTTTATCATATCTGGCAATCTCTATCTTTTAATTGGTATGTTGTAATGATTTACACTTAATAATTATTAGGATCATTTAATTTAGGCCTGCCAATATACTAATATTTTTCTTTTGGCGTTCTCTGCATTTTATTCCTCTGTTTTCTCCTTTTTCTGTTGCTTTTCAGATTGTTTGAAGATTTATCTATTGGCTTTTTGGCTATATCCATGTTTTTGTTTTTATTGTAGTGGTTGCTTAGGTTAAATTATACCTATGTAATTTTTCACAGTCTATTTAGAATTAATATTTTACCTACTTCAAATAAAATGTAGAAGCCTTAAAACTTTTTGAGCTCTTTATCCTCTCCCACCAGTCTTTATGGTATAGTTATTTTTGTTACATTTGCATTTGTGTTAACCTCTTTCCTCGAAAAAGTCATGTAGAAGAGAATGTGAGAATGTATTTTGCCTTTATTCCTGCAAGATCGTTTCACTCGATAACGAATTAGGAATAAAAAATTCTTTACTCTTAGGTCAGTACTTTACAGGTGTTCTATAGCTATATTCTGGCTTCCACGGATTTTAATGAAAAATCTGTAGTCATTGTTTTTTTTTTTTTTTTAAGATTTTATTTTACTTATTTGAGGGGGAGAGAGTGAGAGAGAGCACAAGAGGGGGTAGGGTCAGAGGGAGAAGCAGATCCCCGCTGAGCTGAGAGCCCAGTGCGGAACTCCATCCTGGGACTCTGGGATCATGACCTGAGCCGGAGGCAGCTGCTTAACTGGCTGAGCCATCCAGGCGCCCAAATTGTTGTTTTCTTATAAATAATGATCATTTTTCTCTATGTACTTAAAAGATTTTTAATTTATCTTTGGTTTTCAACAGTTTGGTTGTGATATGCCTTGGCATGGGTTACTTAGAGATTATTCTGTTGTTCACTAAGCTTCTTAAAACTGTAAGTTTATGTTTGGAAAGTAGGCTATTTTGTTAAAAATCTTCACCATTTTTTTTTCTATTTCTACATTTCCAATAATACTAATTTTAGATCTTTTATATTAATTATAGCTAGAATACAAAGTACTTATTGGGTCCCTGAGACACTGTTCATTTTTTTTCCACATTCTTTTCTGTTCTTCTAATTAAAAATTTCTATTCATCAGTCTTCCAGCTCACTGACACTTCACTTTGTCATCTATGTTCTGTTTTCAAGCCCATCTAGTTAATTCTGTGTTTCAAATCATGTATTTTTCATTTGACTTCTACACTAGTCTTCACTAGACTTCTACAGTTTTCCTTTTTTTATAGTTTTTCTGCTGAGAATTTGTATCTTTCCATCATTTTAAGTCTGTTTGCCCTTACCTTAGAGTCTTTCTGATAATTTTGACATCAGGAACATCTTGGGGTTGGCATCTGATTATCTTTTTCCCTCAAGAATTGATGATGTTTTTACTGGTTCTTAATGTCAAATAATTTTTGACTTATATTAAATATTCTAAGTGTAATGTTGTATAGACTTCAGAGCTATTATAGTACTCTGGAGAATGCTGATTTTGTTGCTGTCGTGATTGTTGTGTGTGTGTGTTGTGTGTGAGTCAAACTGTCGATTCTATCTCAATTTCTTTACATGGCAGTTCTGCTCTCAGTTTTGGTTTTCAAAGATCTGTATGTAACTGTTTGTTCTGCACATGCATCATTTATAGGTTAGTCTAAGACTTGGGCAGTGGTTTAAATTTTAGTTCTATTTTCAAAGCCTTGATATTAAGTCTGGCACTTATGTGGGTTTATATAGGGAATTAGGGATCCCCTTTTCCAGTTTGCTACTTTCTCCAGTTTCCCCTTCACTCTCCATCCCACAATGACCCTTTCTCTAGTTCTTCTGTTCAGAAAGTTAGGGTTCCTCAATTTTAGCTGCCTATGGCACCTACAACTGCAGGTTCATAACTAGGGTCCACCCTCAGGATAGAACTGTGGGAGAAAAGAAAGATATAATAGTCCATGGTTTCCCTTTGTACTCTTTGGACTACAGGAACCTCTTTCCTGGTTTTTTTTTTTTTTTTTTTTAAGCCAGAAATATGTGATTTATATAGGAGTTTTAGCCACTGGCTCCACTACTTTGTGCCAGCTCTGTAATTAGAGGCTCATCCTTCAGGCAACATTGTGAGAAAAAGAGGATGGGAAATACACCCTCTTAAAGTTGGTTTCTCAGAGTTTGACTTCTTTGTACAATATGCCTGCTTTTGCTTACTTTTTAGTCCTCATGTAGTTGCTTATTGTATTTTTCCTAGAGTTTTAGTTGTAATCAGTGGGATTGTTTGACCATACTGGACATACTCCACCTGGACAGGAATCGACAGACTAATAAATATTTTAATAATTCCTTTGTTCAGTCTGTCACAAAAGTTTACTCAGTAAGGGCATAAAAACAACTTTAGGACTATTTTTAAATTATTTCATTAACTGTACCTTTTCCTTATTGGTTGATTTCTTTCTGTAAAGACAAAAACAATTATTGCCAGAATGCAAGGTATTTGTTGGGTGTATTATAAATGTGAGTTTGTATTGTGTTCATTGTTTGATTTCTTGGGTTGAGTTGATTTTTAAAAGCAAGTTTTTCTCTTTTTTCCCCCCACAAAACTATAGTAATCACCCTTCTTTTATATAGTTCTTTTCCTATATGATTATCTTCAGGATAAAAATGAGCAGTTGCAGTTGCTGCTTTCATTGTACTTTCAAACCCAGTCTTTTCACCTTTTTTTTTTTTTTTAGGGGAAAAGAGTAGGTACTGGCACACAGAAAGCAAGAAGTAAGTATTTTGATATCCTTAATTGTGTTTGATTTGCTTTTAGAAAATAGAACAGATCTTATAAAAATCCTCTGGAAGATCATGTAAACGACCCTGCAGGGAACGTGTTTAGTAGGTCTTAGTTTTTTTAGACTATGGACCCCTGTGGGAGTCTGATGAAGCTTATGGACCCCTTTTCAGAGTAGTGTTTTTAAAAAACATATAAAAAAATTATTAGGTTACTGAGAAAGTAAATGAAATTCAGTTGTCAGAAAATTTTTAATTATGAAATGGTGATATACTTGATTTTTTTACACATTTAAAACAAGTGCTAGCAGTGATTCTACTGTAATTTTGAAGTGGTGAGCATAAATGATTCTTTGAGATCTGTAATAACTAATATGATATGAAAGTATTTCTTTCATTTGATTTCAGAATTACAGGCACTGCTAATACCACTGTGATCCTGTTGCTTAAATGCATAACTAGAGGAAATGTTAAATTTCAGTTAGAGATTAGTGAAATTAAAAGTTGGATTTTTTTCCTGTTTTAGCTCATGATTCTTCTGAATTCTCTTCATAGATCCTTTGCAGGGAATCCTTTCGTTTTAAGAATCTCAGAATGTAGAAAGAATTTCTGTCATTTTGGAAATGGGCTGATATTGTAAAATACCTCACTTGAGACTTAATTGAAATGAAAGGGATAATGGGTACAGATGGTCCTTGACTTATGATGGTTTGACTTTAAATTTTTCACCTTTTCAATGGTGCAATACACATTCAGTAGAAACTGTACTTTGAATTTTGAATGTTGATCTTCTCCTGGGTGGGCAGTATGCCATATGAAACTCTCCTGATGCTGGGCAGCAGCAATGAGCTGTAGCTCCCATTCATTCATGTGGTCACAAGGATAAACAACCAATATACCTAAAACCATTCTGTTTTTCACTTTTAGTACAGTACTCAATAAATTATATCACATATTCAACATTTTTTACTATAAATGGGCTTTGTGTTCAATAATTTTGCCCAACTATAGGCTAATATAAGTGTTCTGAGCATGTTTTAAGTTAGGCTAGAGCTAAGCTGTGATGTTTGATAGGTTAGGTGTATTTAATGGATTTTGCGACTTACGATGTTTCCAACTTACAATGGGTTTATCGACGTGTAACCCTAATTGTAAATTGAGGAACATCTGTACATAGTTTGGTGGGATTTTTTTTTATTTCCTGGATTTGTACATATCTAATAATATGTTTTGTATATTCTCAAGCAGGTAGACTCAAAAAACCTTTTGTAAAGGTGGAAGATATGAGCCAGTAAGTATCTAAGTTCAATTGGTAATTTAAATATAATATTAAAAGAGAAAATCTAATTAAGCTATCTCCACTAATACTATTAGGTTTCTTTATGTTAGATTTATATTATACTAATACGCAGGTGGCACAAGTTGTAGAAAGTAGCATTAATTAATTTTTGCTCAAAAATTAAGCAATTTTTAGCTTAATTTAGTTTCAGTATGCTATAGGTGATAATTCCTTGAAATACCTACTTTAGAGCAATCATGAGACCAACTTATTTTTGTAGTATTTCAAATAACCATTCACTAGCTAAATGGAATACCATATGATCAAAACTACTACTTAAAGATTGCTTCTACTTTGTGAAATATATTAGTAGGTACTATTTGGAAGTACAAAATCTGAGTATAACATTTAATTTAGTAGTTTTCCTGAACTTACTCTGAAGGTTTATAGGGTAATCTTAAGACTACAGTTACAAGTAAATTAATTTGGCCTGGAAGATTTCAGTAACTTTTTCTTGACCTCTTCCTTTAGACATGTGTGATTAATTCTTTTGAGTACTCACTGAAGTGACAAAGATGTATCGAATGCTTCTTTTTATGAAATGTATTATTATGAAAAAAAATTGCATCTCAAAATTAGGCCTAGAGAAGGTGCCAATATATGGAAAGACATCCAACGTCACGGATTGGAAGACTTCATATTGCAAGATGTCAGTACGCCCAAAGTGATCTACAGATTCAGTGCAATCCCTGTCAAAATCCCAATGACTTTTTTTGCAGAAGGGGAGAAATCCATCCTAAAATTCATACCAAATCGCAAGGGACCCCAAACGCCCAAAGCAATCTTGAAAGGAAGAACAAAGTTGAAGATCTAAACTTCCCTGATTTCAGAATTTACTAAAAGCTTCAGTAATCACAACAGCTTGTTAACAACGTAAAGACAGATGTGTGGACCAATGGAAAAGAATAAATAGCTAAGAAATAAATCTTTACATTTAGGTCAAATGACTATTGATAAGGATGTCAAGATCATTCGGTGGGGAATGGACAGTCTGTCTTCAGCAAATGGTATTGGGAAAACTACATATCCACGTGCAGAAAAATGAAGTTGGACTACCATGTATAAAATTAACTTAAAATAGATCAAAGACTTAAAAGCATAAAACTCTTGGAAGGAAACAAGGGAAAAGCTTTATGACATTGGATTTCACAGTGATTTCTTGGATATGACATCAAAAGCACAAGCAACACAATTATAAATTTGTGTGCACAACAGAGTGAAATGGGATGGAACCATGGAATGGGAGAAGATATTTGTAAATCACATATATCTAATAAAGTGTAATATGTGAGGGAGCTTGGGAAGATGTTGGAGTAGGAGGACCCTGAGGTCACCCCTTCCCTTGTTTACAACTAGTTAGCACTTGCATCCAAATAAACTAGAAAATGATGTGAAGATTGGCAGAACAAACTTAACTATGTGGAGAAGAAGCTGCATCTGAGAGCTTAGGAAGGGCAGAGTTGGTGATTGGGAACTGTCTGCAGGAGGGAGAAAGTTGTAGGCTATGGCTCAGAGAGGTGAAAGCACCAGGGAGCCCACTAAGGGAAGATAAATCCCCATGTCTGGCTTTGAAAACCAGAGGGGTGAAATCCCTAACTTTGTATAACCAGTCAGGCTTGGATTCTGGAGCTTTAAAAGTCTGCTGACTCAGCACTGGGTGAGCTGGGAGGGCAAGTGATAGATGGGTCCCTACCCTTAAAGGGACAGCAGCCTATGGAGAGGCAAATGGAAGCTATAGCTTGAACAATGCCTGGGGCAAACGGGAGCAGCCCTGGGTGATGTAGGGAATTGTTGAATTACTGTATTATAAACACCTGGAACTGATATAATACTGTATGTTAACTATACTGGAATTCAAAAATCTGATTTTTTAAAAAAAGTATAAAGAAGTCAACAGATAATCAAATTACCAGGTTTTTGTTTTTGTTTTTGTTTTTGTTTTTTTTGTTTTTAAGATTTATTTGCGACCACTCTTGTGCACTTGAGTATGGAAAAGAGCAGCGGGAGAGAATCTTCAGGCAAACACCCTGCTGTCCACTTCGGTGCTCTATCTCAACATCCATGAGATCATGACCAGAGCCAAAACCAAGAGTCGGATGCTTAACTAAGCCACCTGGGCACCCCTCAATTTATCAGATTTAAAAAATGGTTACAGGACTTGACATTTCTTCAAAGATGTACAGATTGCCAACAAACACATGAAAAGATGTTCACCATCACTAATCATCACAGAAATGCCAGTCAAAACCACCTTGAGATATCTATCACTTCACACCTATTAGGATACAAACAAACAAAAACCCCCTAGAATAATAGGTATTGGCAAGGAATTGGAGAAATTGGAGCTCTTGTGCACTCTTCGTGGATTGTAAAATAACTGCAACTACGTGGAAAACAGTATGGAGGTTCTTCATAAAACTGGAACTATGATATGATCTCGCAGTTTCACTTCTGGTTATTTTTCCAAAATAATTGAAAGCAGGGTCTTGAAGAGATGCTTGCACATGCATATTGGTAACAGCACTATTTACAGTAGCCCAGTGGTAGAAGCAGTCCATATGTCCATCAATAGATAATGGATTATGTGGTATATACATAAAATGGAGTATTACTCAACCTTAAAAAAAGGAATGAAATTCTGACAAATGCTCTTCAACATGGATGAACCTTGAGGACATTATGCTGAGTGAAATAAGAGGAAAAATACTACAAGATTCCAGTTGATGAAGTACTTAGAGTAGTCAGATTCATAAAGTAGAGTGAGTGATGGTTGTCAGGGGTGGGCAGAGAAGGGAGAATGGGGACTTACTGTTTAATGGGTACAGAGTTTTTGTTTTGAAAAATGAAAAGGGTTCTGGAGATGGATGATGTTAATGGTTGGAAAACACTGAATGTACTTAATGCAGCTGAACTATATTCCTAAAAATGGTTAAAAATGGCACCTGGCTGTCTCATTTGGTAGAGCATGTGACTCTTGATGTTGGTTGTGGAGTTCAAGCCCCATTTTGGGCATAGAGATTACTTTAAAAAAAAAAAGTATTATTAACATAGTAAATTTTGCGGGTATTTTAACCATAATTAAAAAAAGATGTTTATGTTAAAAAGATATTAGGTCTACTCACTGATATGAGGAATTCTTAATCTCAGGAAACAAACTGAGGGTTGTTGGAGTGGTGGGGGTGTGGGAGGGATGGGGTGGATGGGTGATAGACATTGGGAGAGTATGTGCTATGGTGAGCGCTGTGAATTGTGCAAGACTGTTGAATCACAGATCTGTACCTCTGAAACAAATAATGCAATATATGTTAAGAAAAAAAAGAAGAAGATAGCAGAAGGGGAAGAATGAAGGGGAGTAAATCGGAGGGGGAGACGAACCATGAGAGACGATGGACTCTGAAAAACAAACTGAGGGTTCTAGAGGGGAGGGGTGTGGGTGGATGGGTTAGCCTGGTGATGGGTATTAAAGAGGGCACATTCTGTGTGGAGCACTGGGTTTTATGCACAAACAACGAATCATGGAACACTACATCAAAAACTAATGATGTAATGTATGGTGATTAACATAACAATAAAAAACAATAAAATTAAAAAAAAGATATTAGGTCCACGAATTGGGAAAGGAAGCCTAACTGATTTCTGTTATTTATTTCAGATTCCAGATGAATTCCTTGATTTGAAATATAAGATTTCCGTTGTATTTTTTTCATGATAAAGAATCTCATGTATTTGTCTTTTTATTTTTTTTAGACTTTATAGACCATTTTATCTTCAGCTGACCAATATGCCTTTTATAAATTATTCTATTCAGAAGCCCTCCAGTCCATTTGATGTAGATAAGCCATCTAGCATCCAAAAGCAAACTCAGGTTAAACTAAGGTTTGTTTAACCTTCAAATAATTTTTTCTTTTTAAGCAAACATTTAAAATAATTAATTAAATGCTGGGGTGGATGGGGGTGTGTGTGTGTGCACGTGTTTGATCACTGTTAATGGTTTTCCCACCTGTATATTTTTAATGCTGGATTAGAAGTCTGAATCTTTCCTAAGTATGTCACGTTAGGCATGTTAGGATCAAGAGATTAAGGTTGAGGGGTGGCTTGCAAATATTTACAAGTAATTAAAATGTGTTATTTCTCCTAAGTGATCTGAAATATTCTCCAGAAAAATAACTACATTTTTAGTTTGCATCTCAATTTCTTAAAAAGCAATAAAAGTATTTGTTGATATAAACATCTGTGGAGATTATGGCAGATTGATAGGTGAGGACTGTACATTTTATAAATTCTTAATATTCAGCAATTAATTCTTTTATCATATATTTCTATCAGAATCCAAACGGATGGCAATAAATGTGGTGGCATCCCAGTTCAACTCCAATTGAAAGAGAAGAAGAAAAAAGGATATTGTGAATGTTGCTTGCAGAAATATGAAGATCTTGAAACTGTAAATATTTTATATTTAGGGGGTTGATGTTTCTAAGTAAATATGAATATTTACTAATGTAAATTTTAGCTTAGTTTTCTGATTGTGGCTCACAACTTCATAATGACTAAATAGCATATATTTCTTTTTGATAGAATTATCTTAAATTTTAGGAACCCAAGGTGGGAAAATGTTTATTGAAAACTAATTTTTATTCATTCATTCAACAAATTTTTATCAAGTACCTGTGTTGTACCAATCACTACTCTGAACAAACAGCATTGAACAAAAGAGGCCAATTCCCTACCTTTATGAAAATTACATTCTATGAAAGGGGAGGAGAGATATGTAACCACGTAGTAAGAAAGTAATTAAGTATATATAGAGAACAGCAGATCACTTCATTAAGAAACTGTAAAGCAGGAATGGGGGTGTAGATATTTATTTAGACAAGGAATAGCTAACTGATAAAGTGATATTTGACTAGAAACTTAGGAAGTGAGGGAACATGACTTGTGGATATTGAAATTAGCAGTGCCAAAGTGCTAAATTAAACTGATTGTTGGGATTGAAGAAACCATTCAGCTAATGGTGGTGGCCTGGTAGAAGTGATGAGACTTGGTCAGATTGTGGATATAATTTAAAAGTGGGGCAAAGAGGCTTTGCCAGTGGATTGGAAGTTGGGAGTGACTAGAGTAGAAGATGCTTCAGGCCTGAGCAATTAAAAAATGGGCATATGCTTTACTAATGGTAGGATGAGAAGAAAGTAGAGATTACTCTTTGAAGTAGCAGAAAGAGAAATAGAATAGTTGGAAAGGGACATTCAATGAAGATACAGTTTTGAAGATGGGAACTATTTATGGTTTGTAAAGTGATAAAACAAAAACAAAAAACAAGGGCTTTGGATCCATGCTACCCAGGTTTGAATCCTGGGTTCCTTTTTGTGTGACCTTGGACACATCTGTGTCCAAGTGGCAGGCTCTGTGCTTATTAAATTTTAGCTGTTATTATTTGAGTTGATTTCAGTAGAGACGTATGTTTCAGTGCTTGGTTTTGTAGAAGATGGGGAAGTTAAGGAGAAAGAATGATATTTGTAAATACCTAAGAAATAAACTATCTCTCTTTAGACTCTAAGTTGAAGTTTGTTTTATAAGTCAAAATATATTAGTGTTTTTTATTAGTTTATTGTGTTTTGTTTATATAATGAGCTAAAACTATCTCAACTATTTCCCCTTCCCAAAAGTCATTTGAAATTTAAATTATAGATTTGTCCCAAAATTTTACTTTGCTATTGCTACAATAGAATAATTTATAATGAATGTTTTCCTTAATATCAATTTGTAATCCTAATTTAATGCTCAGAAGATGTTGGAACTAAAAAATGAAAACCTTGGTCACTGATTGACACACTGATTGACACAAGGAAGGAAAATTAGTAGTAGATGTTGGGGTTGATATTTTAAAATCATTTTTTATTACATTCTTTTAATCTATGTTTCTTAGTCTCTGAGAATAAAATATTCTTTTGTTTTTTGAATCTCAGATTTCACAGTGCTTCATTTCCACCTGTATCAAGGCATTCATTTAGCCAATTGGATTACTAGAGATTAAGCAACAACAAACAAGGCAGACATATTCTGTTCCCTTAGATATCTTATGATTCAACGGAGGAGACAGATATAAAACAATGCATTTACAAGTAGGATAGTGATAGTGTCACAAAAGTAGAATGTACAGTACAATGGTAATAATGAGAGGGTACTTAAGGTAGGATGAGAGACATAGAAAACTCAATGGAGAAAGTAACATTTAAGGCAAGACATAGAAAAGGAGGTATGATAAGAGGTGGGTGGAGGTAGGGGGCAACTACACAAAAGTTGGAGATTTCTCCAGAAGAACATGTATAAATGTAATCTGAACTTAGAAAGTTAGTGTTTCTTTTTAAATTTTAATTATTTCTCATTTATTTAACATTATTGGACATAGATAATTTGTGTGTGGTAAATTTGCAAGTAAGGAAGTAATAGTCCAGAATACTATTTTTTTGTGATCATTGGAGAATTTAGTTTTTGGAAATAAAATCAAATCACCAAAAGTTACATGAAACTAGAGAAACAGAAATGAGATTCTTGCGTGATCATCCTGGTACAGCCTTCTAGGTGCAGTTCCCTGATCAGCTGACAAATAATAGAATTAGCCTGGAGAGTCCACCTATTTAGCAGGAACTTTATTTCTTTTGAGTTTTATCCCAATACACTGAGCTTGTTTACTTTTGTTCTTCACCACTCTTAGACTGAATAACTGTCAACTAGTTCCAATTTTTTAAAAAAAGAAAGACTGAGAATAACTTCTATATTCTCCATTATAAGCATTGGGTAATTGAGATCATTTACTTGCTCATTCTCAAATGTGTTCCTCAATAATGAATTTTTTCTTTTTTTTACTTCACAGCATTCATTGTACTTCATTTTTTTGTAATCTGCTTTCTGGATTCTTGTTTTGGAATCTTATATGTTAAAACTATAACATTTCATTTATTTAATATTTTATAAGACCTACCATATTTATTTAGTGGTAATTGTATAAAGATAAAATAAAGAGGAAGATTTTCTCAGTATTAGCATACTGTAAATGTTAAATGTTACTGTTGTATTTCTCTGTCTTCATTTCCTGATGTAGTTCATTCGTTGTCAGTTCCATTTAAACCACAAATTTATTTTACTTAACATTCTTTGAAGTTGTAGTAAAGGATATTTCTATGGAGTAATTATTAGAAACCTAATTTTTGGGGCATGAAAATATTGGAAACTTAAAAAGGAATCTCTTGGTTTAAGTATATATAATTACATGATTTTATGTGCTTTTTTGTTTTTGTTTCAGCATCTTCTAAGTGAGCAACACAGAAATTTTGCACAGAGTAATCACTATCAAGTTGTTGATGATATTGTATCTAAGTTAATTTTTGATTTTGTGGAATATGAAAGGGACATGCCTAAAAAGAAAAGGTAATTTATCAGCCTAAGTTTTAAATTTTACCAGAATTTTAAACAATTGCATTAAACTAAAAATAAATCCAAAGTTTTGTTCTTAGAAGGAATATATATTTTTAGAATGTATATTTGGTGAAGAACTTACTACTTCTTTTCTCTCCACTCTAACCTCCTCTCTGCTACCAAAAGTGCTTACTTTAAGATTACTATTAAGGTCTTCATCTTAATGTTATAGTCTAGAAGAGGAGTTAGCAAATTTTTCATTAAAAACCAGACAGTAGGTATTTTAGGCTTTGTGAACCATAACATACCTGTTTGAGCTACTTAGCTTTGTCATTGTACAATGAAAGCAGCTACGGACAATATGTAAATGAATGGGTGTGGTTGTGTTCCAATAATACTTTAGATTTGGTCCATGTGCTATATAGTTTATCAACCTCTGGTCTAGGACCATAAAGTTTACCATTTACTTGGACTAAAAAACTAGAATTTTTAGTTTATCTTCAGGAGTTTAAATAAACTTTCCTTCACTTAACCTCCATTAAGTCGTCTTTATACTTTCACTGAATACTTTTGCTTAAATTCTACTTGCCAATAATACTTACTAATGGTACTGACAGGACTTTTAAATGTGAATACAGTGCTGTTCATTGACAGTTTACTGCACATTGACTAAATGATCCTGGTTAGATGGTTCCCATAAATCCAAAATAAAAAAAAAATCTTTGAAATGCTAAAATTGATGATAAATCATTAGGTTATTCAGTCCTTATAGCTGTTTTTAGACTAATCTTGAGGCATAAAGACTAGAAAATAGGATACCAAGGTATAGCTTCTGAAAATTAACTGGAAAGTCTTTTGACTGTATCTAGGTAGAACAGTTTCTAAACTTATTTCTGTAACATTCAGAATGGTTGTTCATGACTGTCTTAATAATATATTTGGAGAGGAGGCATATTTTCAACTATTAAAACTATATAGGCGGGGCGCCTGGGTGGCTCAGTTGGTTAAGCGACTGCCTTCGGCTCAGGTCATGATCCCGGAGTCCCGGGATCGAGTCCCACATAGGGCTCCCTGCCCAGCAGGGGGGTCTGCTTCTCCCTCTGACCCTCTTACCTCTTGTGCTCTCTATCTCTCATTCTCTCTCTCAAACAAATAAATAAAATCTTAAAAAAAAAAAACTATATAGGCTATTGTAAGAATTTAGAATTCCCTAAAAATGTAATCTGCAGCAAAATTCTGAACTAGTACTTAATATATAAGTTGGTTTTTCCTTAATTATATTATCTGCACAATTTTTATCTGTGTACAAGTCAACTAAACATCTCTAGACATTGAAAGAGAGAGAGGGCAGTGTTGGACTAGTATTTTCGTATTTTTAATACTCCATTTGTTCAAGAGGAATCTTAAGTGAAAGTATAAACAAAATAAATATAAAAGTGTCCATGCTGGTTTTGAAAGGGCAGACTGAATTCTATATTCCTATAGTGTTATCTGTGACATGTATAACATAAAACATCAGTAGTGAGCTGGTAATATATAACTTAGGATTGTGTAATACAAACTGGTGTTCCAAGGATATTAAGAGACTCCATGAAGAAGAGGTTTTCAGGTCAAATACATGTGTGAAACTTGAAGATTACTATTTTGTCTAAATACTCATTTTCTGCATTGTTAAGCAAAATGAGATGATATTAATGTAAATGAAAGCTTAGAAGTTAGGATATTTTTCAGGATAATGAAAACAAAATTGGGAGCAAAACCAAATCCCTTTACTTTCATCTTTCTTTGAGTTATATGGTTGAAGTAGTTTTAAACACCATATTTAAGATAGTGGTTATCTCTGGGAGGAAGGGGAAGAATATGGATGAGAATAGGGGGTACACTAGAGTTTTCAGCTGTATCTGCAAAGTTTTATTATGAAAAACATCTGAAATATATTTAGCTGTTAAGATTTTAGTATTTTTGTAATCTTTTCTAAGTTAAATTTAAATTTCATAAATAGTTTTAAAAGATTATTAATTTGACTTTAAACTACTCAGGAATTTTTTATAGCAATTTCATGTTTTCTTTTTGTTTTATAAAGAATAAAATACAGTATTGGATCACTTTCTCCTATTACTGCAAGTGTCCTGAAAAAGTCTGAACCAAAAGAAAAGCTAGAATTGCAGCATATTCCTCAGAAAGATTTCAAGGAAAATAATGTACAGGTAATTGAGCAGCATTTCCTCTATAAAGAAATCCAGGAACCTGAACAGAAGTTTCTGTTTATTTCAGAATGCATCCCCTACCCTTCAAGTGAATTGAGAGGACTCGAGAAAGTAACTAGCAAATGTTCCATGTTAAATACAGCTGAAAATGACATAAAACAAAATTTTACACATCTACCTCTGCATAAAACTAAACAGGAATGCATCCTTGACGTTTCTGAACATAAATTAATGACAAATGAAAGTGACTTAGAAGAACTAAGGGTAGATCATTGTCCGTGTAGGCTACAGACATCTGTACAAGTTTCTAACGTCAGTATGGATAATACTGCATCTCACCCAAAACCAAAGTCAGATATTATGCTTTTTCCAGCAAAGGATCTGAAGAAAAAGGACCTTCATTCAATTTTTGGTCATGATTCTGGTTTGTTAGCAATAAACAGTTCACAGGAGCACGTAACAATTCAGACAAAGACTCCATCCCGAAGTACCCCCGAGGAACCCAGTGAATGCGACTTGAACAATATGGATGGTTTACCTTCTGGTACGATCCATCGGAAAGTGAAAATATTATTAGGAAGAAATAAAAAAGAAAATCTGGAACCAAATGTGGAATTAGATAAGAAAAGAACTGAATTTCTTATTACACAAGAAGGAAACAGGATTTGTGGTTCCCCAGTACAATCTTTACTAGACTTGTTTCAGACTAGTGAAGAGAAGTCAGAATTTTTGGGTTTCACAAGCTATACTGAAAACAGTGGTATATGTGATGTTTTAGATATTTGGGAAGAAGAAAATTCAAATAATTTGTTGTCAGTGTTTTTCTCTTCCCCTTCAACTTCTACATTTACTGGCTTTTAGACTTAAAAATGAATACCTTTCAGAAGTGATGAAGATCATATTCTTGAAATTTTTATAAATATGTATGGAAATACTTTCTTTTTTGCCAACTTTGTTTACAGAACCAAGTGTAAATATTAATAAAGGTGATGTTTGCATTTTTCTACAGAATTGGATACTTATTATAGAAAAATCATAAAATAAATTTGTGGCTCCTTTTACATACTATGTTTTAGGAATTATGAATAATTGTTTTATGTCACTGAAAACTAATTGCAAGTGAAATTTTGGGAATATCAGTATTTAACATTATAAATTTAGACGGTCTAGTTCTTTCTAAAGTCTGTTAATAAAATAGATTACCATAACATGAGAATATTGCTTTTAAAAATCTAATTTTCATACTAAAGGAAAAATATTAATTTTTGCGTTCAGATTCTGGAAATCATTAGTACTTGATATTTGACCTAATTGGACCATACTGGTGTGTTGGCACTGAGGAGTTAGGTTATTTGCAGGGGTAAATAAAAGCCATGAAAGAAAAACTTAACCAGATTACTACATGGAATAAAACAATTTTTCCACTGTTCTTAATTATTTACCTTTAGAAATAAAGTCTTCCAAAAATGACTTATTATCCCCTAATTTGGTGTCAGGAAATGAAAGGAGGAGGATGGCATTGAACTCTAAAAGTATTGAAACATGTGAATATTGCCTTTGGTCAGGCACTTGGCAAGTCAATAGTTTAGAGAAGAGAATATTCAAATATAAGAAAAATTTCAACTGTTACCTTTAGTTGGTAGAGGCATTTGCTTTTGAGTGTGTTCTTACAGGAGTGAGGCATTTACAGCCAATGACATTTTTCACAATGAAAGTTGGTGCCATTGAGTATTCTATGAATATATTATCTTAAAAATTAACTTTGTCAGTCTTAAATTTTTGAAACCCTATATGGCTCCCAATATATTAGTTCATGTGTTTTGATGTGTATTTTGACTGTTTGGACAGTCTCAATGAGAAATACTAGCTTTTCAACAACTTTAGTCAGTCATACCAGTACTTTAAAAGTAGGGTCACTGAAATATTCTTTAGAGTGCATCCATGCAAACCTTGTTTCCATTGTAAATTAGAATTTTCTTTCACAAATGCATGTGTGTATATAGTCAGATTTTACAGACAGCCTTCTAAAAACCTAGATGCAACTTGGAAAATTATTTGTAGAAGGTATTTTTTTCCCTTTTCCAGATAATTGAAAGGTATTTAAACTTGCTCTATGATCCTTGTACTTTAGAGTGACAGTTTCTTCAATTTGCAGTGGCACTGTTTGCCTTAGTTGTATTTAATATGGAGTAAAAGACTCAGACTGAACCCCTCCAGTAGTTAAAAGTTGTTAAACTTTATTTTCACACTATTTCTGAAGTACTATTTTGAACGCTGGACTTTAAAACACCCTCCCTCAAGATCTTCATGATAAATATTTCACACATTTTAAAAAATGCTTAAATTTCAATTGGTGGTAGCAGGACCACCACATAGGATTTGTGTGGGTTGTGTTATGCAGATGGGCACTCAACCAAGCAGAGGATGTTGGGGAGTAATTCAGCCTCCAGTACTCAGTAAGTACTGTGCCCTGGCAAATGACATTGTCTACGTAGAGGCATGAGTACTTTTTCTTAATTTTTACCAAGGCACATGGTCACCTTGTCAAGGTGCCTTTGGGGTTGTGTTTACCTAAGCTCTTAACTGTGGTTTGGTTCCCAGATTTGTTCACCAAAGGACACTTAATCTTTAAAGGAGCAAGACATCTTAAGAAGTAGGAAGCTTCAAAGATCCTCAGCAGGGTAGATAGAAAACTTGGTTTGTTTGATAGAAAGTGACTGGCTCTGCCAAAAGGGTCTAGACAAACACATCCCAGCAAGCACATGGTAAGTTTTCCTTGATAACTAGAGCATTGAAGTGGAAAGGTGTTAAAGAAAAAAAGATACCCTAATTAACTTTCAGCTGTGAGCAACAGATGGTGTAGCAAAGTTGGTGGGTCTTTTTCCAGGAGTAGCCACCAACGGGGGCAAGGGAAGACAGTGTGGTTGTGTGTTTTAAAATGTTTATTTTTCCAAGTAACAAGCAGTTGTAGCAAAGGGGTATTTTACGTGTCAAGAGAATCTTTTAAATGGTTTTTGAAGCCAGTGACTTCTTTGCATATATAGGTTAGTATATTAAAATAATTTATGGAACCATGTATAGATATTATAGAGAACCTTGATGCATGTCAAGACAAAATCTACCTACTTTTAAAAGGAATAGGAAACAAGCTGTTACGTTTAACACTTTAACCTACAACCACTGAACTTGAATCCTTATTTCTGGAAATGTGAGATTATAGGTTATCAGATAAAAATTTAGTTTTTTAAACACTTCGGTGCTAGCTTGGATGTGTAGTTAATACTATTCTGCTATCTAAGGAATATATTAAAATGTATTTAAATACTATCAATTTCTATAAATTGATTAATGTGAGACCAAAGAAAGTTTTATGTTTCACTTTTCAGTTAGGAATCATTTCAATGCTATGTTTCATTAGTAGAGTGAAAAGTAAGGAAGATAGGCCTCTCCCAAAGGAGATGGAAAGATTTTTTTTTTTATAATTTTAAGTAGGCCTCCATATCTGCTTGGAGCCCAACGTGGGGCTTGAACTCATGACCCTGAGATCAAGACCTGAGCCAAGATCAAGAGTTAGAAGCTTAACTAACTGATCCACTCAGGTATCCCAGAGATATCTGAAAAGATTTTTAAGCATAATGTGAAATAAACCCTCATTGGGCTAGCTAGATCTTAAATCATGGGATTGCCAAAGATTGAAAGAATGCTGGTTACACAACTTAAGAGATACTGAGGCCAAATTAAGTTAGATATCAGCTGCTATAGACTTGCTGTTGACGTATTTGCTATGACCAGTAATGTAATGCATTAGCCATATGCTGTGATTACATTATTTGTCATGGAGAGTGGGGCAGGAACTGGGGAGAAGGGATGGCATAGTATAAAGACAACTAGATCAAATAAAAGGGAACTCTAGCCTTTTAGCTGCATTAGTTACTGGGAATGTTTAATGCTGTTACACAAAAAGTAGTATAACATCCATGTTTCCATGAATTCCAACCAAAAAGCCTTCTGCATAAAGAGGCAGTATTATGCCCACCTACATGACTATACAAAATCGTAATTCTGCCCAAGTCAGGTTAAAAAAGCAGAACTTAGAACCTTGCAAACAAGGGCCATTAACACTAATTTTGTAAGCAATATTATAAGTAGCCTTAAAATACTATGCAAAAAAAAAAAAACAGGAAAAGTCTAGGAGGAGCCCTGGGCAATTAAAAATGCAACAAAAATCTGACACAAAATGTGTTACTCAAGCAAGAAAAACATACTCTACTTTTGAACATGGAGACTAGTGTGTGACCAAAACAATAAAAATTTGAATAACCAGGTTAAGACAGCCATATCTATTAAAGGATGTCACAATTCCTTTGTGAAGAAAGTAGTGAAAATTATCAAAGTCTCTAAGTTCATTTCACGTGGTTGTGCTTAAATGTATAGCAAATGGCAATTTAGTTTATGTTACTGTGCCCAGTGTGATCAACGTGCCATCTGGTGCCTGGCTGGTCTTGGGGGATTGTGCCATGTCAGCATTGATCTCTTGTTTCTGGCAGTTTGAACATTTGACAACAGCAGAAACTTCAACTTCAGTGAATAGGAGCCCATGCTGTCAAGCCTATACATGACTTTTTTCCTGCCACCATAATCCTTTTGCCTCATGTACCCATTGTGCCACGTTGGGGTAGCATTAACGTGTGATATGAAGATTCTTACACTTCATGCCCACCCCCATATACCATACGCCTCTACCCCTTGTACTCAATCTTCAGACCTTTTTTTCCTAAGTCCCTTAACAGACAGTTATGTCATTTCTCACTTCTCAGCAGTCCATATATATTCTAAACTTGGGCCAGTTTTCTTTCCATACAAAGGTGATGACCAGAGGTATACCACTTGAATCTCTGCCCATCAGGAAGATTCTCTTGTAACTGGCTTTCAGTGCCACCACTGAGTGGAGCTGTATGGGCGGCTACCATATATTTTCATTTTGCACCCACAGAAGCAACTAATCCCCTGATTTAAGTTTGGGTTTCTCCATCTAGTCCAAAGGATGGCTCATACACCTGTACATGCAACCTGAGGGAGAGGAACTGCTGTGATAGCAGTGGATGACATGGGCAGCTGGGCTGCCTGCTCATTCCTTGAGCTCTCTGGTCTTGTTCTAGCTCAATCCTGGATGTACCACTTCCATTTTACAATGGATTATTGGCGCACCTGCCCAATTTGATGACTTGATAGGTCTAATGACAACCTCAGCTCATGACTGGCAGTTGTGACCACATGATGGTTTTTGCCCCACAGGCACTTCGTCTCTCCTATGTCATCATCTACAACAAACTATTTTCATTTTTCCAAAAGTACATCATTCTCCACTAAAGATGGCACAGCTTTACTCTAAGCCCCCAGGGAAAGTTGTCATTTCCCTTTTGGGGCTTTCCATAAACTCCAGTTTTCCTACCACTGAGGCCTCTCAAACCTTTGAACCTGCCTGGTTATATGACTGCAGAGCTATTTTTTGCTTACAGCCGGCAGCCTTTCATGCCCCTGGGTGGAAGTAGTACTCTCATTTGGAATAGACTCCCTCCAGAATCCGAAGAGGCTTTCCAAGCATTATGTTTCCTTCATGTTTTGGAAGTTCAGGATGCCATATGCCTTTTACTTTGGATGGGATCTTCTGGCATCCCCTGACCACTGGAACTCTAAAAATGTTACTGATGTGACAGGTCCCTGAATCTTACTAGGGTACATGTCTCACGCCCTGGAGGACATGTGCCTTACCAAAGTTCTAGTCTGTTAGCAACTTCTTAATCATACGGTCTGATAAATATGATATCATCAATATAATGGATTAATGTGATGTTCTCAATGGAATCCTCTTCAAATTTTAACGGAGAAGTAAAATGTATACTGTAACCTTTTCCCTGTGAATGCAATCTGTTCCTGATTTTTTTTTGACCGGGATGGAAAATTATCCATCTGCCCAAACAGTGGCTGTATATCATGTACCTGAGGCTGTGTTCATTTGCAATGAAAAGGATATCACATCCGGCCCTGCATCGGCAGTTGAGGCTACTACTTGGTGCAGTTTGTGGCTATCTACTGTTACTTTTTTTTCTTTTTAAATTTTATTATGTTAGTCACCATACAACACATCATTAGTTTTTGATGTAGTGATCCACGATTCATTGTTTTTGTATAACATCCAGTGCTCCATGCAGTACGTGCCCTCCTTAATACCCATCACCAGGCTAACCGCCCCCCCATCTACTGTTATTCTTTGTAACCCAGATGAATAGGATGGGAATCAACCATCTTTAGATATTTAACAGGCATCAATTTCCTCCATCACTACCACCAGCATCGCCCCAGATTAAGATACTGTTTTTGATTAATTCTTTGGCTGAGAGATAGAGGCAGTTTCAGATTCTCACTTGGTCTTTTCTTCTTTTCAATTTTTTTTTTTTTTTGGTCTTGTCCACTATAATTCTTACCCTACATAGGTCAGAGATACAATGTGGGTGATTTACTGAAGTACTAAGTATTTTCTAATAAAACGTTCAGAGGCTAAGCAAATGACATTATTGACCCACTATGAGCCAAAGCTTGGCCAGGACTCCATTTATTACCTGACTCCCACATGTCCCCACTATAATAGGTGCTTTGGGTCTCAGGTATCACTATCAGTCCAGACCCTGCCTCCAACAGTTATTTGGGTATTCTTACCCCTTTCTCCCGTGCAGTTACCCAGGTAAATGGAGATAATTCCCTTTGGGGAAGAGCTAAGGGAATAGTTACCATGTGTACATGACATGTGATGCGGGGTCCTTCTCCTGGGAACATGACCTTTTCTTCAGTTGGTGGTTTCTGGGTTGAAAAACTGACTCAAATCTGGAAATAGAAGTCATGATTCTTGATTGGAGCAACTTCCCACAGCCTCCTGAGGCTGATTTATTTTAATGATACATGTTGAGAAATTACCTTGTTATTTTCTATCCATTTTGCTCCTAAAGGAACCATGTTCTATTAACCAACTCCACAACTCTTGACATCAACTCCTTGGCATTAGTCTTGGCAATCACTTTTTTGATTTGATGCTAAAAACAAAGGCAACAAAAATAAAAATAAATTAGTGGGGCTATATCAAACTAAAAAGCTTCTGCACAGCAAAGGAAACCATCAACAAAATGAAAAGACAACCTACTGAATGGGAGGAAATATTTGCAAATCATATTTCCGGTAAGGGGTTAATATCCAAAATATATAACTAACTCACACAAATCAATAGCAAAACAAGCAATCCTATTAGAAAATAGGCAGAGGAACTGAACAGAAACTTCCAAAGAACACATGCAATTTTTTTTTAGCTCTGTTAATAAAATTTCAATACTGTACAGCAGAAACTGGACATGCTCATTCTCACATTAAAACAAAAGTTTTCCTAATATTACAACTTATTTGTATTTGCATACTGTAGAACTAAAGTGTCGGTGTGGCTATTTTATAGTGCTTTCTAATAAAATATACAAAACCAACAGAAATACAACGAATACCATTCAAGGACCTTACAACCCTGAGATCATGAGTGGAGCCGAAACCAAGAGTCCACCACTTAACCGACTGGGCCACCTGGGTGCCTCCAGGCCCTTGGGTTTTAATTCTCTTTTACTGTAGCTACCATGAAACCTCTTGCATCAAGGTGTAAAGTGTACCACTGAAATCTTTTAGCCCCTATTCAGGCTATAATTGCGTGTCATATATAAAATTCTTAAGTGTCTTATTTATTTGAAAATCTGGGGAAATTTTTTCTGAAATGACAATAAGATCAATGAGATGTGGTTACTGAAATATGATAGAATGTTCTTTCAAGGGAGAAAAGAGTCCCTCTCTACTGTTTGCTTGTAAAACCATGTCTAAGTTGTATTTAATACTGAATACCACACTTTAGCTGGGACACTGACATACTGGAGTGTATTTTCAAATCATCATGATGGAAACCTGAAACCATGTCACAAGAGGCAGGGGTAAAAAAACAATTTTTTTTCCAGTGGGGAAGGAAAAAAACATCTCCACAGAGCATCATGTGTAAGATTCTTCTACATGCTTTACAGGACCAGAATCAGGATGGAGGTTATAAAAACACAGGTTCCACCAGGGAACTGTGGAAAAAGACTCAGATCTGAAAGCAGGATATCCAGTCTACTCTATAACTAGCCATGGAACCTTAGGAAAAGTCCTTTAAATTCTCTAAGCCACTTGTGTCCAATAGAACTGTCTGCAATGATGGAAATGTTCTATATTTTTGCTCTACAATACAGTAGCTGCTAGTCATAGGCAGTACAGAAACGTGTTTAGTGTGACTGAGAAACTGAATTTTACATTTTATTTACTTTTAATTAATTTAAATTTAAATAGCTACATGTGGCTGGTGGTTACAGTACTTGGAAGGTGCTGCTCTAAGCCTGAAATTCCTCCTCTCTGAAATGGGGATAATAATACTTAGCAAATCGCTGATCCAAAGTTCAAACGGCATTATATGTGACCTCAGAAAAAACTGTATCATGCTACATAATTAGCAGCCTGAGAAGGTCGAGTTCTTCACGTCTGGTTTTCAGAAACAGGTTTGAGACAGGCAGACAAAACATCCTGGACACTTAGGCTAAATCCAAGACATCCTTCCAGTGTCTGCGTTGACCTTCTTGAGGTTCCTTCCCGACTCGCCTGGCTGAGTTAAGGCTAAATCCAAGACATCCTTCCAGTGTCTGCGTTGACCTTCTTGAGGTTCCTTCCCGACTCGCCTGGCTGAGTTAATGATCCTCCTCTAAGCATTACCAGGGTACTTTCACACTGTAATGTAAAAAGTTTTTCCTCTACTCCGAGAGCGCGTGCCTCTTACACTCGTGTCGTTCACGGTTGTGTCCCCCTGCTTAGCCACCGGGCACACAGTAGGTCCTCAGTCAGTATTTGATGCATGATTAACTTACCACGTACTCTTGAGGGTGTGATTCCCTGACAATAATTTAAGTAACTACTGAATCTGTGGAAAACATTATTACGGTTCTCTGCGGACGTACAGAGTGAAGGAATACTGGCTCTCGCCGCGCCACAGTTGGGCTATTTCGGTGCCCAGGAGGCCTACCAGCGATGACCTCTCTTCTGCCCTTTTCTCCCTTCCTGTCTTCCGTCGTCACGAGGTCGCGGCAGTCCGCACCTTCGTGGAGACGAGCTGGATGCGGAGCGAGAACTACATTTCCCAGCTGACTCTCCGGCGCGCGCGCCTCTCCGCGCGCGGGGGGCGAGTGCACCAGGCGCTCGCTCCCTGCCGAGCGCTCGTCGCCCGCCGGAGCCTTTGCCATGGGATGAGGTGGGAGGCGCTAGAAACCACTTAGCTACAGCCAACCGCCCAATGCAGCACTCACTCGCTCGCTCCCCCCGCCAGCGGAAGCGCCCGCGGAGCACAATGCAGCACTGAGGCAGCGCCGCGGTGGAGGCTGCAGCGCCACGGCCGCCGCAGCACCGGCCGGGGCTGGGAGGGGGCGGACGAGACGAGCCCGGGGGCGCGGGCCGAAGGAAGCGGACCCGGCGGCCCGGGCATGAGGAGCTGAGCGTCTCGAACGAGGCGGGCTGACGGCAGCACCATGCAGGCGGCGGCGGCTGCGTCGGTGCCCTTCTTGCTGCTCTGCGCCCTGGGGACCTGCCCCCCGGCGCGCTGCGGCCGGGCAGGTAAGTTCGCCACCCTCTGTGGCTTCGGGACGTACCATTTTCCGGGAGTCTTTGCAGCCTCAAGCGCACTGGAAACGGGCATCCCGTTTCCCGAGTGCGCGGGGAGATTTTTTATTTAGAAGGGTGGTGAGAAGTGAAGCAAAAATACATGTGTGGGGGCGCGCGGATGCATTAGAAGCCTTCGGTCAAATGCCTGTTTTTCCTCTTCTGAAGAGGAGGAATGCGGAGGATCGGAAAGGGGTGCTGTGCTTCTGGGCCCCGATCCTGGATGATCTCAGAGGAGCTGGTCCAGGGCTCTCCGGCTGGTGTCTCTGCGTCCTTCTCCGATAGGGGCCGGGAGGGAGGGAGGGGGCGGCAGGATTTTCACAGAGGAGACGTCGGACCGCAGAAGGTACGAGTATGGGTCAGGGTCATTATTTTCTCCTTTTCTCCCCACTCCCTCCTTACCCTTTTCCTGCCTGGAGGAGACGCCTCGTTGACGGAGCTGGAGAGGAGGAACGAAAACCGCTTCCTGGAGCGCCAGAGCATCGTGCCACTCCGGCTCCTCTACAGCTCGGGCGGCGAAGACGAAACTGGACACGACGCGCTCGACACGCGGGTGCGGGGCCACCCCGGCGGCCGGCAGGTGAGAGGCGGGGCCCGGGGGGTGGGCCTGGGCGCGGCCTGGCCCACCCTACCCCGCGTTTGCTCTCCGTCGCCCTGGAGATGCAGTGTCTTTGGTGAAATGAGCGCAGTCCTAATGCGAGTCATGCATGGCGCTCTCTGTGCAAAAAAGAAGGGAGCGGGGCGGTGGGAGGAGGGACACAACCCCCCCCCCCCAAAGAAGCACAGGCCGGAGCTTTGCTAGAGAGGAGTTTGTGCGGGATGTCTTCGGCAGTGCGGCATCCTGAGCGAAGGGCCGGAGCCCTTCTCACCTCTGTCAGGTGCCTTGCATAGAAAGAAGGGATTTAATATTGGCAGGATTTGCATCAAAATCGTTGTGGTGCTTGTTTTAATCCTCCAAAAGACTTTATACGTGATTTAAACCAAGATTGGTACTTTAGAAAAAATGAAAAGACGAGCCTAGACATCCCTAACTAAACTCAGACTGTAAAAATAAGCTCAACTGCAGTGTTCTCAGCTCACTCAATTTGTGGACACCAGAGATATATCCATTCACCTCCACCTTTCAGAAAAGGCGTCTCCTCCCCCATTTCTTCGTTGGTAGCAGTCCTTTAGTGTAATTTGAGCCGTATTGTTTATTGGGCATTTATAAACCATGTTTAACAAAAAAACCTAAGTTTGCCTTTTACCCATATTTAGATCAATAACACACATCCACAACTAATGACTGAAAAGTATTTTGAACTTATTAATTTAGGTAATTATTTTGGGGCTCTGTAAAGTTTTTGTCTTTATATACATCAGCCTGGTAAACAGTTCATTCATCTGTAAGTACATATTAAGGTAGAACTTGTTCATGTGGTTGAAATTGTTGTAAAGTTCACTGACCTAAAGGCAGGCTGAACATTTTCACATGTGCAGATATATTTATTAATACTTTAAGATGTACGTTGATGCTGTGAAAGTCATAGTATTTGATCTATATGTGTAAAATATGTAAAAATAGAAAAATGCCATTTAAATCTGTATTTGTAGCCAAAGGCTTAGCTCTGTTGAAGTTTTTGTGTAAGAAATTAATTTAAAGGGCTACAGTAATATCCATCAACGTTTGATTATTGTAGTAGAAAATCTGATGTGCCAAGCTTTAATATGAAGGATCCCATTATTTGAATTAACTTTTGATAAATACCTATTTTCCTCTTTCATTCTGACTTGTTTTCATAGTAAAACTGAAGAAGTAGAAGTAGGGGACACTCTTCTTTTTTAGTAAATGAAAGTTATTTCTGTGGAGGAATATTCTCACACACATTTACAACTTATGGTTATGAAAAATTTCAAACACACACAAAATAGAATATTATAATGAACCTCCAGCTTCAACAATTAGCAACTCATAAGCCAATTTTGTTTCATCTATCTCCTACCTATTTTCTTCCCTCCTCATATTATTTTGAAGCAAGTATATGATTTCATTCATAAAAAATTCACTCTGCACTTCTAAAAGGAGTCTTTTAAAAATGTAACCATGATATTATACCTAACATATAAATATAAATTAAGTATATAAATATGTTAAATATATGTAAGTATATTTGATAAATATATATAAATGTAATACATATATATTTAAATCTGTTTGATCCAGGATCCAAATAGTGTCTATAGACTGCAAATACTTTATTTTTTTTTAAGATTTTATTTATTTATTTGAGAGAGAGAGAGAGAATGAGAGATAGAAAGCACAAGAGGGAAGAGGGTCAGAGGGAGAAGCAGACTCCCTGCTCAGCAGGAAGCCTGATGTGGGACTCGATCCTGGGACTCCAGGATCATGACCTGAGCCCCTTAACCAGCTGAGCCACCCAGGTGCCCATTTTTTGAGTCTCTTTAATGCATAGTTTCCTCCTCTCCCATTTCCTTAATTTTTTCTTTGCAATTTATTCATCAAAGACAGGGGGTCTTTCATCCTATAGTTTACAGTCTGAATTTTTGCTGATAGAGCCAGTGCTTTAAAACAAATCACGAAGACTTTCTCAGAGAGGAAGGGCAACAGAAGGAAATAGAAATGCGGAAAAAGAAAACTGCAGAATTGAACCTGGAAGCTCCAAGTCTCTGCCTTATGCTGGTTGTGTCTTCAGGTACCCCCTGCCCGTCACTGTGTTGGTGAAAGACCACCACCTTTGGAAAACAGGCCAGTCTTCCTTCTTTTCTCTCCATTTATGGAGCAGGACTTCGGCAGTTTTTGGATCATAGGACTTTCCACTTGGGGCAGAAGATACCTTGGACCTATGCATTCCTACTTCTCACAATAATAAACCTCACAGTTGAGAAGAATGACTGGCTTTTGGTGGGGTATGGATGAACTGGTAGGATTTAGGTTGAACAGCATGAATAGATTATTTATTCACATCAGGATTGAAAGTGAAATGCTGTCTTACCATCAAAGTAATTATTTTTAAATATCTTTTTTTTTTTTTTTTTTTTTTTTTTTTTTTTAGAGAGAGCGCACTTGCATGCTGCAAGTGGTGGGGAGGTGCACAGGGAGAGGGAGACAGACTCTTTTTTTAAATTTGTTTTTATTTTTTATTGTTATGTTAATCACAGGAGACAGACTCTTAAGCAGGCTCCATGCCCCAGTGCAGAGCCCTATCTATGCAGGCTCCATCTCACAACTCTGAGATCATGACCTGAACTGAAATCCAGACTTGGTTGCTTGTTTGAACGGTTTTCAGAGTAACCAAATGGATCTAGTTGATTCAGGAAAGCTCTTCTTCACTAAGGAGTGGCAGCTGATAAACGTAGGAGAAATGATAACATTAGAAAAATCATCATTTTGTGATTTCTAACAAATGTTAATTCAGGCAAGCACTGTCAAATGGAACTGGCCATGCAGTGAATGGCTGAGGGGAAACCGCACATCTGCGTGGTATTAAAGGAACTCCATACCCAATACTTTCTGGTCACAGGGGGATCACATCACTGTCTAGCAGCCAGTTCGGGCAACCATTACGAGACCCAGAGGACAGTCCGAGTTTCAGTGATGGTAAAACCACATGGCATGTGCCTGCTGAAGAAAAGCCATGTGAAACATACAGTGGCACCCAAAATGTATTCTGGACAACGTTTATCAATATAAATTGATCAAGCTCTTAGATGTACCTTCTGATTTATAGGAAATACAGGGGACAGAGGAGCAGGCTAAGTGACCGCATGAGGAAGTGATCAGACAAACATCGAGCAGGAAAATTAACAGATGAAGAAAAGGACTGTTTTAGATTGAAAACACCTAAGGGATATACAAGCTGGATAAAATGCAGCCTCCAGACCTAAAACGTGATTTGGATAAACTAGCTTTGGGAAAATCGTTGTGGGACATTTAGGGTAATTTCAGTATGATTGAGGTATTAGAGGCTATGGAAATTTATTGACGGGGAAAGAGAAAGATTATGAAAAGAAAGCAAACTATTTACAACATTATGATCTTGTTTTAGTGAAAAGATACGTATATGTATATGAAAATATGGAAATACATGTAATAAGACACTAACACAGAACAGTCAAAAAAAAAAATAGACGGATGCTTAACCGACTGAGCCACTCAGGCACTCCTCATCAAAATAATTATTATGAGCAGTTATCTCAGTGCCTGGCACGTAGTGAGGTACACCACAGTACATCTGGTTGGATGTCTGGATCACCTGGGAGGCTGCTGAAGTTTACCGTGCTCTTTAAACTACATGCTCTTTAAACTAGAAATTGCTGACTACTAGGTCTTGAATCTGCCAATTACAGTTGTAAAGACTTAGTTGCCATATGCCAAATTTTCCTGCAATTAGGAAACTAAGGAGTTTTGCTGCATTTTTGCATTTTTGGTTTCATTGAGAGTTGGCATTGGACCTAAAAACTCACGTTGATTATATATGGCCCTTATCATTTCTTTGGTAATTAAATAGATAAAATTATGGCATCTTAGCTACTCATAGATACTTTTAGCAATTTCCTTTCTTCTTCAGAAATAAAATTGGGATGGCTTTCTATATTCATTTGTTCATTTGTGTATTTAAAAGGCATTTATTTACTTGGGCTCACCAATTTTTGTACAAGGCTCTGGGGATTTAGAGATAAAAGACACAGTTCAAGCCTTTAAGGAATTTACAGACAAGTGGGAAAATGTATGAATGGATAAGCAGTTATACTCTGCCCTTCTGTGTGGTTTTTAGGAGGTGATCACAGAAAGCTGTTGAAGCAGAGAAAACAGAGTATTTAAGCCAGGTGAGCAGTCAGGGGGCCTCTCATGGGGAGGTGCTGTCTTAGCTGTGTTTTGAGGATGAGTGGGAATTGGCCAGATTAAAGGAAGGTGATGGGCATATCAAACCAAAGGGGCAGCAATTACATGGGCAGGTGGGAATCAGGACATATTTTTGTTAAGTGCAAATAGTTAGGATTTAAGGTATATATGAGCCAAAACAGGAAAGCAGTGTAGATGCCGCAGTACCTTCATGATTGGTGGAGGAATTTGGACTTTGTCCTGAAGGCAATTGAAGAACTTTAGTAAGGAGAGTTAACTGACCAGATTCATAATATTGCAGGATCATCCTAATTGTTAGAAATGAATTAATTTTAATTTCAAAGGGTAAGTGAAAGTGGTTGTTCACTTTAATTTATTGGTGAATGCTAATTCACGTACTCATTAAGCTTCATAAGAATTTAGTTACGAAGTATACTGAAAATACTGTATAAATGAGTTTATAAAGCACTTAGAACAATGCCGGGGATATTGTAAGCACTATATGAGTTTTTGTTAAATAACATTTACTCCTGGGCGCCTGGGTGGCTCAGTTGTTAAGCGTCTGCCTTCAGCTCAGGTCATGATCCCAGGGTCCTGGGATGGAGTCTCACATCTGGCTCCCTGCTCAGCAGGAAGCCTGCTTCTCCCTCTCCCACTCCCCCTGCTTGTGTTCCTTTTCTCGCGTGTCTCTCTCTGTCAAATAAATAAATAAAATCTTAAAAAAAACCCCAAGCATT